AAGTCCACGTTCCCCTTGTAACACGGCGGCGAAAGCGCCTAGTAATAATTAAGATGTACCGCGTCCGGAAAAAAGAAAAGAAGTCAAAATTGGGTAGGGGCGTAAAAATGTTTACGGTTTTTTAAGCCGCACTTAATGTCGTCGTATGAATTACCCAAAGCTCTATATATCTTTTTAAGGGCGAAAGAGCGAGGAAAGCCGTCTGCATTAAACATGTAGCCGGCGCGCAACAAAGATTCTCACGCTCGACCAGATACGTTAATTTAACCTCCACTTGTTATAAATTTATACGAATATAACGTGGATTAATTACATAGCGTGATTGCTATACGCTTAATTAATAAAACACTTCGAGATAAATTTGCTCTATTGAAAATTTGTTCGGTTAAACAAACCGACACCTGCTCCGCTTGTTTCGTGCGAGGACCCTGAACGATAAATCATTCGGTAAGTGTAAACAAATTATATTCGGCGATCCTTCGAGGTGGAGTAGTACAATGGGGTGGTCGTGCCTTAATAGAGTATATATGAATGTTAATTATATATACTCGATCATAGTTTTGTTGTAGCTAAAGGGTTGCTTTCGACAGTTGTAACGCTGCTTGGGGCAGCTATGGTTTGAATGTATTTTGAATACGTGAGCTACCCTTATCCTAAGACGCTGATAAAGATGGAACCAAAGTTTGAGGTATAAATATGACAATTAGAACATAGGAACACATATACCCTTTCATAGCGAACATGAACAAAAGTATATCTGGTGATAACCAGCGATAACTTGCGAAATTGAGGAAAGCAAGCGCGGTTGCCACGATCTTTTCGAACTTAAAAGTTTCTTTCCGTTTTGTCTAAACATTTGACCAAAATGTAGGTTTTATATTCGTTTAAAAATATACGCTAAGCGTTGCCTTCAAAAAAAGTGGACCCGTTTCGTAACTTCTAATGCGCGAGATTTAAATAGCGGGAGAAGTGGGAGAGCGGGCATTCTAAGTTGGTTTTCGCGAGAGCTCACGTACACTATTTGTGTGTGAATTTGTCTACCGTTGAAGATTTATTTGCTTTTCGTAGTGAAATAAAATTTTTAGCGAGTTATGAAAGCAGGTGCGTACCATATTTCACATATGTAGATAGAATTCGTGGGGAACGGAACGTGCATTTATTGAGTAGAAAAGAATTGGCAGTTTAACTTCGGGTAAAACCATATTAATTAGCGAGAACTCCTAAATTTCGAGTATCGATCGTGAAAAACATTTAAACAAATTCGGGTTTGTTACAAATTGTGGGTTACCAGAAATTTTTGCATGTGCGAATGTACAAATTGCGGAACGAGTAACTTTTTAGCAGACGGCGAAAGGCCGTTTCTTTACTAGTGATAAAATTTACGCGAAGGAACATTTTAGTATCGGTACACCTACCCAAATATACCGTAGGAGAAAATACTTCGTATTAATATTAGGTGAAAGTAAAATCAATCTGTTTGGAGGTGACGACAATTAATTGGTGCAACTTGCTCGCAGCTAAACTTAATTAATAAACGGGCAAATTTGATGCGGAAAAATTAGAGAATTAACCTGTGGATTGGAACTTTCTCGTTGGAAAAGTCGTTCGGTGAAGTCTCTAGTGAAACAAAATTTTTTTTGGGGTAGTTTCTTTAAACGATTACCTTTTTTGTTTTGATTTTAACCAAACCATTGAACAGAACTATTTTTTAACATGAAAGTTTGTTATTAACGCTTTTATTAATGGTTTTGAATACTTGTTATACACACAAAAGGGTAAACTTTTCGCTAAGAAGACAGTTGTTTACACCTAACTTTTATCAACGCTTTTTCGACTTTTATGATTACGAATTCTGATGACACAGTTCAATTCACTCACAGCGCGACAACTTTATACGGAAATAGTTCTTTGTTCCATAAAAGAATTTTGGCGCGCTATAATAATTTGTCCTTGACCGGCTACGGCTGTGTTTGGCGACGGAATGCATTTACTCAACGTTAACCTTTTTCAATTTTACGATCCGTTTTCTGTAGAGTGAACACAACTGACCCATGTACGGAATTCACTTTTTGGTATTTGTTTATCCCTGGTGAATATTTCAGTTTGAGCAAAATCCTCGTCATATTTGGTGCTGTATCGAAATTTATCATGGCGCGTGGTTAGCACTTGCAATTTCTATTATTTAATTTTGCGGTGCACGAAAATGGCAACTTCAGCCTTAGCTAAACCCAAACGAAAAACTAATTGACTACAAAGCTGCGTGGCTACTTCTTGATAGTTCCCGTCCGAAAAAAACCTCTTCTAAAACTTCCCCTCAAAATTATCCAGATCTTTTCTATCCCTCGAATCTTCTACTATGGAGAACACACTGATGGTCTCGATGGTCTCTTCTATTCACGAGGTTAAGATTTAGAACTGACGTGCATAATTTAAATCTACGACATAGGGGATTGCTAGATGTCCCTCTCCACAATACTCACTTTTTCGAACGGTCATTTATTTATCAGTTTACTACCTGCTACAATACATATTTTAATATATTCAAAAATTCTCCTTCGTTATTGTCTTTTAAAAAAAACATGAAGTGTAGGTTATTAAGTGAGCAATCATATTAGATTTGTAAAAAAAAAATTTATTTTATATGTATGTGTATAACGCGTGAATGATACACTCGGTTGAGTGGTAGAGCAACAGTTGTACGTCCAGGTCAACGTGTTGAACTCCGCCTAGATTATTTTCGTTTTAATTTTATTTACATTATATAATTTCGTAATAAAGGCATTATTATTATTATTATTATTATTATGGGCTCTCCTCGGGTCAGAATTACCGAACCACCCTTTACTATGTAACCGTCCGGTACAAAATGGCGCCCAACAGCGGGACGAATTAGCATCTTGTAAACTAGAATCCCATGATCAACAAATTTGAAGATACCTGCTCGAACAATTCAGAAGAATAAAATGGAGGGCACACAAGTTAGTGAAGATATAATTTTCACCCAAGAAAGTCGAGAAATATCCGAAGCTCCTGTAACACAAACACAAAAAATGGACATGGCAATGTTAGTGAAAATAATACAAGGCATGTTAATAGCACAAGAAAAAATAGAAACAGGAAAAGAAAAAAATGGAACAAAAATAGATGTAGGACAAGAAAAAATGGAACAAAAAATTGAGGCAGGACAAGAACAAGTTATCGAAAGTTAATACAAGAACAGAACAATTACGAAATGAAATAGGACACCAACAACAAGAATGCAAAAGAAGATCGACAATTTAAATCAACAAAAGACAGTCGACAGCCTACTAGCACTATTGGAAGGTAATGCCAAATCATGGGCACAACTGAGAAGCAGAGAATGGAACAATATCAAGGAATTGAAAGAAAAGTTTACCGGGTCTGCTCAATATAAATTGAAGATAAAATAAGTTTGAGACTAGTAACTCCAAAATGATATGATTCTCAAAGAGGAAGTTATGTGGACCACGTATGGTATTATAGGTAGGAGAGACAGCCCATTTTCAGCCCCCACTTAGAGAAGAGGAATTAGTCAACGCCTTAAAAAAACCAGTACAGCTCAACGTACTAGAAAGGGTACCAAAATCCAATGAAAATTTTAGAAGAAGCAATCAGCAAGATGGTAGGAGCCGAGAAACAAGAGAAAATAGACAAAATTAGGAAAGAAAAGGCCAAGATCAAAGAAATTACCAAAACCGAAACGATAATCAGCGGGAACCATGAAAACCAATATAGAAGCAACCATGGACGAGATTATAATAAAAGACAAATAAACGCTGTATAATACCGAATAGATCGAGAATAGAGTCCACCTAGGAGATGAAACCAAACTGACAGAAATTATGAAGAAAGGGACCCACGGAGAGTTGTTGTCGTCTCGATTCGAATTTCCACCGTTCTGCTGTCCGGTAGACTTCACGTAGTGGTTTTGGCAACGGGGCTTTCTATACTGCTTTCCCCAATTTATTTTACTTGATATCTTTCTAGTCCAAATTTCTCCAAAAAAAAACAATTTTAAAGCTGCCCCGTAAAAACAAAGCGCTGGATTATTCAAATGTTCATTTACGAATTGGAAATTTCAAATTTTGGCACTGTACCTCTTTTCTTCTCACTTATAAATTTTTCGTAGCCCTTAACTATAGGACCAATCCGCATTTTATATAACAAATAATGTGCAATTTTGAACCTAACTGGGTAATTTTATGTTTACTTCTAAGTTAAATTAAGCTCAAATTTAAACTTAAAATTTCCTGTTCTACCTAACTCAACCGCTGGTAATTTTGGTATACATATCAACGTACGAATTCGAAAATCCCATACCATCTGTTAAACTTTTTTAGAGTTTTATTAATGAAGATGACTGTTTTTAAGTTCAATTTAGAACACATAGTGCTAATTTAAAATTTAAATTGACAAATAAAGTACACTCGAAAAATTTGAATTTAGTTAAGGTAAACGTGGAATTTGAACTAAAAAAAGTACAATCGCGCGGCGGATACAAATGGACAACCCTGCAAAACAGCAGATACTTTGTCGTCCATCCTTAAAAGGTGTACTTACAGTACTCGAGTAATTTGTTTTCTAAAAAGATGCGCAAGTCTTCCATTACTTATAAATGGAGCAAATAATTGTGCTGCATCCGAACTAAAAACGCATTTTGTTATTCTGCGAGCACAAAGAGACGACGACACCTCGAAAATTTATTAAGAAATTCTCGAAATGAAAACTTGGTACTTTGTAAATGATAAATTACAATAGCAACTCCAACTGTTACGGAGTCGCACTCGTAAAACGCTTTGAAAGGTGACCTAATACAATAATAAATGCCTTAATGAAACTCGTTCATCATTTTGGGCCATGTGCACGAAATATTAAAACAAAACATAAAAATCTGCATGAATATTTTATGCAACGTGAGCGACACACGGCTCTAGATTAAATTTTTCCGTTCGGCTCACTTATAAAATGTCATTTTTCAGTGTATCTACGGATGCTACGTTCATTCGGCGATCTTGCCTACCTTTCACAGAAGATGCTACTGGCTGCTTCAGGTAAGTCTCAATGGTTTCGGGGTGATGCCATCGTAAAGTTTGCCCATTGTAGAATCCGGACATAGTCCTGGTTCACTATTTAAATGTACCGTATCCGGACGACAACAAGCTCGCCGTAATAACGCCGAGCCTGTCCCTTTGGGCAGACAAGAAGGAATGGACAAAGGAAGAGCTTATTTCGCAATTGAAGCCGATGTTTTTTAGCGAGGACGAGCCTGATTTAAACAACGAATTAGAAATATCGGTAAATTAGTTCGGGAAGTGGGATGGTAACACTTTGAATTAACCGAGAATGGGTTTATTTTTGGGAATGTGGAAGCAACCGATTTGCTTTACTTAAGAAAATGACATAATCCAAATAATATGACAAATAAACGTATATTGATCTGCGCCCGTTTGGAATGTCTTAATTGCCTGCCGTCAAACAGGAGCACTACTGCGTTTATTGCTCTTTACTGACTGTTTCCAAAGTTCTTGTAGTGTAGTTAACCCCGAGGTTAACACTACAATAACAGTGCGTTACCGGAGGTGTCCAAAAGAATTTTTGTTAGCAGGGTCCCCTTCCCAGGAGGCTTGTAACTTGACCCTCATCCGGAGTATTCAAGCCTACGGTTGAGATTCGAGATCAATCACAACCTTAGATGTCGTAGCGAGTGTGGTTACAGTATTTTTATCCCTATAACTACCTCTTTAGAGCGAAAAGTTTAGTTTATATACAAGTTCGCACATGCGTCAAACAATTTGATAATTTCCGCAAATTTAAACGAATGACCAAATTCAACTTTGGCATAGGACCATGTCACCAAGGTGTAACCATAATTTGGGCAAGATACTGATTACTTTTTTCTATTTTAAATTAGGTTTTTTAATTAATTCCTAATTATAAGCTCGTATTTTCACGTAATTATATCCCTTGCTTATTTATTAATCAGTTCGTTTGTCATAGCTTTTGTTGTAGGGGCCTAATCATTAAATATGTTTAGTTTCTGGATTCTACGGGTCAAAATGTATCATATTTATGCTGTTTCAAATGGTCTAATTTTCAAGAGGAAACGACGGACGTTTTGCGAGACTTGAATCGCAGGCAGGCGACTCGGACTAGATAGCTGTATACAATAATGTCGGTTCTTTTATGTATTGGAACGTGAGACCTAGCCGGGAAAGGAATTGAACAAAATGCAGAATTTTGTGCGTAAGAAAAGACAAGAAAAACTAAAATATATTAGGCATACAACAAATACGATACCTGGAAAACTTTCACGTGAATATATAAATCAATACTTAATAAAACGATATAAAGACATACTCGTCTGTACAGTATAAGCTTGAAGTATGCCACGCTTCAAGATCGCCTCGCTTCTTAAAAAGAATCGATTCTCTTTGGTCTTTTTTTGTGCTCTTATCTTCAAATTCTTCAAATGTATTACAAAAAGTCGGTTTAAGACGGATGAGTCGTTTTTAACCATTTTTGAAGGCACGAATGTACCGAGTGTCCCATTTTCGACACTTACAGAATATCTCAAATTGTTAGCGCTATCCAAAAAGTAATATAGACGCCATGTGCTCTTTTTGGGTCAAATTTAAAACCAAAATTTGGATATATTCGCGCACTTAAAAGATACGGGGGAAAATAACAAATGTCAATTTCAAAATGGCCATATATTATTTTGTTGAAAGAAAAACAAGAAAATGTTATGTTACAATAGTATCTTTATAATGATTGTTCGATAATAATACGGTTCTCAAAATAAATACACGAAGTTAGGTAAAATGTTATTTTTTAAATGGAACACTTTGTATATTTGCACCTAAAAAGAGGGTATATTAACCTTTCTATTCAGAAATCTAATACATAAAGGACGGTATTCAAGTGATTCAAAAGAATTTAATAATAATTCAAAATGATTAAAAAAAGTTAAAAAAAATTTGAAGAAGTTTCAAATTGATTAAAAAAAACCAAATTTCAAGAAAATTTTCGAATTTTTTTAATCTTTGTGATCTTTTTGAATGTATATTGAATTCTTTAGAATTTTTTTTAGTGTTGCAGTGAGGTTATAGTCAGGATTATACACCTTTGCCGTTCTAACACATGGCATTGGGCTTAGAGAGCAAGTAGAGCGCAATGATGCTCTACGTTATAGACGTTTTAAATTGAGGCTGCTGCGACAAGTGAGGGAATGGCGCTTTTAAGAGGATATTACCCAAAAGGAGCACATGACGCCTAGTAGTACTTTTTGATAGCAGTAATAATTGCAGAGATAACATATAAAAGTGTAAATTTTTGAATGGGTGGGGTTTGAGCAAGGCTGCTCTACCAACCCAACCCACTATGCATTTACAAATATCCATGCCCTAACCCGGATTAGAACCAGGGGCCCTTTGTATACCGCAATCGTCGTGTGTCTTTTCTGTAGCACTCCAAACCCGCTTCGGTTTTTTTTGGACTAGACAGTTCAAAATTTTTTACAAACAACCCCCCCCCCCTTTCAAATGCATCCTTTTAAATCTCCCCCACTTCGTTACATATGTTTCACATTTCTCTTCTCAGTACCTACTAATTTCACGTCTGTATTACGTTTTCGTGAAACGTTCTTCAGTCCTGTTTTTTTTTCACATCTGCCTTCATCGGGCCTCTTTCAAGACTGATGACTTTCATGTTCACATAAAACTTTCCTTCTAACGTGCAAGACATCACTCTCGAGCCTCCTCCATGCCTCCCTTTTGTCTTCTTTCTCGCTCCTTCTAGGTTAGCTTATGTATTTTTCCTGAGAATGCTATACGTTTTCCTTAAAATATAATTGATTGATTCTCCGTTGATATGGGACACTGTCTATAATTTTGACCAATTTTCGAAACAAGGTTACACTTATACAGGGTTGCAAATATATACAATCCACCCTTAAGAACTAGAAAAAGAAATAAGGTACCGTCATGCGGTTTTCCATAAACGTATAGCCACCGAAGACTTTCATTAGTTACCCTCTACTCACTTTATCCCCGCCACATCACCAAATATCAGTTCTTGACAACCCGCTTCATTTGAGTTAATAAATAGACATGTGGCTTTCCAATCAAATTTATAAGCTTTTGATTTTTACATAAATGACAAAAATGGTACCTTATAAGCTGCGGCTCTTTCGCTTCCGGTTGAGTTACAATCCTCCTTACAGGAACAAGGAAAACCACCGCTGCGGTTAGACAATCTCCATTCCGATGGCAAATTTCTTCGTTGGGATTTCGATGAATTCCAAAAGTTGTGGAACGTCGTTTTTCGGTGGATCCTTGTGTTTTAAAATTACAAACAAACCAGAAATTTAATTAGTGTAACTTTTTGAGGTTTAGTTGAACCAACAATGGGAAACATTTGTTGAAATTATTGCGAAACAGGAAAAAATTTTAGAGTTCTAGTGTTAACTGAACTTGAAATTTCATAGGTAGACCGGTTGAAGGCCCTTGACCCATCTTGGGGATCTAAAAATCCGTGTTGCCAAAACATATCTCTCTGGTTAATTCAAAGTTTTACTGTCTCTCTCATTAGGAGCTTTTACACGTATTTAGCAGAATTTTAAATTACAGACCGCCGAAACGGTTGAAGCCATTGTAAGTCAATTAATGGAAAAGCAGCGAGTTGCTCGTCAGGCGGCTCTGGTAAAGCAATTAGAGTGCGGATGTCCCGATTCGACGTGCGCCGATGGAAAGTCGTGCTCGCATCCGATGCGTCGAATAACGGCAGCAAAAAACGAAGTAGCGAACTCATTACCTTCTTCTAGCTCAAATTCGCGTCCACCCAGCCGTGCCGAAAATAATCAGGTGTCGTCAACGACCGGGTCCGGGGGCATGTTCCTTAACAATAACCACGCTGGTAGAGTCTACTCGCGCGATGCACGCAACCATCTCTCACAATCGGCCGGGCAAAACTCGGGTAATACTCCGCCACTGGTGCTCAGTTTGTCGCAGATCCAAGGCGGTGGTGGTTTACTCATACTCAACAGCAACTCGACGACCTCCACGAATTCGACAACCCACCAGTCGTTTGTAGCACCAGTCTCCGTTGCAAATTTCGTCTCCAGCACGACCGCCAGCCGGGTCCATTCCAAAGTAGATAGGTCAAAAAATGGTCCGATAGTTCTAAAACAGGAAATCATGGACACTCAATGCACGTACGGTTCCACTATAAGCAGACCAAATGGACGAATGCGCGAACTCAAGCACGACACATCCACCACCATGCTAGGAAATATGTCGTTTAATCAACAAAAGAACGTCCACCACCAAAACGAAATGATAATGGTTAGCGCCCCATCTACTCCTTCCAAACGCATGGATACGAGCAACGAAGAAATGCCGGAGTTCAAACATCAAAACTTTTGCGGCGACACCGTGGTACTTTTAAATACCGATTCCGGTGGATCTTTAGTTAGCAAAAATGTCGGGTCTTCCATAGCATCCGGTAGTTTCTTTAACGAAACTTTAGATTTATCCCACGAAGATATTCAAAAAACTCTTTCTGCCAATATGCCGTTGTGTTCATCCGAATTAGAAGCACACCAAAATCACAATCCCGAACCGGCGAACAGCCGAAGTAACCATAAAAGGGAACCGGAACAGCAACCGATCACGCACGACATGAACCCAATGGATTTCATTAACACGTGCGACGTGGTCGTTTCTCCGACTCACGTGGTCGACGATGACGTTTTTGTCAATTTGGACGCGTTCGATATGCTCGGCGAATTTCCCGATTTAGAAGGTTTAGAATCTGGACATGCCACTCTTTTAGATGTCCATCCGTCCGTGAACGAAAATCCGGGAAAAACTCAAAACATAATTCAGACACAAATGGACGCGCACGCGAAGATAACAGATTACTCCCCCGAATGGGCCTACCCTGAAGGTGGTATCAAGGTATTGGTCACCGGCCCTTGGCACTCCACCGGTCCTTACACGGTTCTCTTCGACACATTCCCCGTACCCACCACCCTCGTGCAAGACGGCGTGCTGCGTTGTTACTGTCCAGGTACTCGCCTTTCGCTCTTTGACCGAAACACTAACCCGTTACTCCCCAGCTCACGAAGCGGGCCTTGCTACATTGCAGGTGGCTTGCAATGGATGCGTTATATCTAATTCTGTGATATTTGAATACAAGTTACCTCCGCGCGAAGAACAAGTTCCTGCTCCCGAGCCTAAGGTCGAACGTTCAAATGACAATTTACTCAAATTCACACTGCTGCAAAGACTCGAAGCTATGGACGAGAGGTTGCAGATCAAACAGGAACCCGTAGACGGATCGGATCATGTAAGTTTATTTTTCACACTTTTTTCTAGGTTTACGAAACGTTAGCTTGTTCAAAATCACATAGGACTGATTATGAATTTAATTATTAGGTACCCTCCCTCCCCCTCTAGGCGCCTATCACCCTATCACCTTGCACCCCAAAGTTTTCAATTTTTAAAAAATTAGAAGTTCACGTTGTATATTTAAAGAAACAGACGTTTAACCCTAAAATTTAAATGTTCAGGCTGCACAAGCTATCAAAGTTGTTATTGAGGCAATTGGATTCAAAATTAAAGCTTGAAGACACAAATTTTAAGCTTCAACTTCTACTCCAAAACTTTCAATTCTCAAAAAAATCTAAAATTCGCGATTGAAACTGCAGAAAGAAACCAGTTTCACATTTTCAAATTTGAACCTCAAACCTAAATATTCAAGTTACGAGCTGTGAGACTTCTACTTAAAAATAATTGGGTTACTACTGGTAAAGATCGGATTTATGGCTCAGTGGTAGAGCATTGGGTTATAAATCCGGAGGTCGGGTGTTCGAACCTGGGTTGAGGTGAATTTTTCATCTCTGGCGGAGATGGAAATTACCTTAGACCAGTTCCGAGCATTCTACCGGCTACTCCGCATTAGGTTTTCCTGCAGTTTTCCTAATTCGTAAGGTAAATACCGGAGTAGTATAGACCATCTTAAGACCTTCTGCAGAGGCACCCCTAAATGGCATTATTCGGGTCACTCTGTAATTGGGCGCATGCCTGTTGAGGGCCCAAAACAAGAGAGGGATAATAAAATTAAAAAAATAAAATAAAATACTATCTTTAACATAAGTGAGCCATAGAAGTTTATTACATCGTAGTATCCTCGTACGCTTTTTTAGGTTGAGGACACAACTTTATTCATGCAATCAAACTTCGAAGATCGTTTGGTTACGTACTGCCAAACAATGACCTCCAGGTTGTGGAGGTACGGTGAGGAGTTGAGCGTGTCTTGGTTTACCAGCCATCGGGGCATGACGTTGTTACATTTAGCCGCGTCTTTGGGCTACTCGCGCTTGGTGTGCGCGTTGCTCCACTGGAGAGCGGAAAATTCTTCCCTTCTTCTCGAAACGGAGGTCGACGCGCTGAGCCAAGACGAAGACGGCTACACTCCATTGGTAATTCTTTGTAAGTCTTGGGCGATATTTTACGGATTTGTTTAGATGTGGGCTTGCGTTAAGGGTCACACTGATACCGCCGTCATGCTGTACAAGTGGAACCATACAGCGCTTAATATAAGAAATAGTCGCATGCAAACGGCTCTTGAGTGTGCGAGGGTCAACTGCAACATGGAGCTGGTAAAGGAGCTCGAGAAGCTGGAGGCGCGAAGGGATAAGGCTAATATGTTGTTGCACTCAGTGAACGGTTACAACGACAATGGCAATTCGCCTGCTGCCATTTCACCGGCAAGCTCCGTGGCCTCGCTAACATCAATTGCTTCAACTAGTCGCTCACACGATGGAGTTTTTCTTCGCCCGGGAGTGGTCACACGGTTCGTGTTCACGAGGTAATCTTTGCCTAGTAACCCGTTTTGTTTCAGAAGTGAGTCGCAGAAATACAAAATATTAAACCTCGACGTAGATTCGCTGACGACCAGCGAAACTCACAACTCTTCCAGTAAATCAAACTTTCTTCCAAGTACCTTACTGTCCGAAGCCAACGTGCAAAGTCGCAATTTCGGTTCCCGTTTAATCAAAAGACCATCGATCGACAGTGGTATCAACATGAACACTGTTCAGTCAAGCGACAGTTTGCCAACACTGAAGTTTCGAAGCGTGAAAACATCGTATGGGAACAACTCAAAACTAACAAGGTGAGGCTGCATCGTGGTTTCTGTTTGGGGCCGCTTTCTAAGTGTGAAATTGCAATTACGCTTTGTTGGTAGATTTGACCGAAGTATGTCGCTACCGTTGAGTTCTCCCTTATCAAATCAAGACAGTTCTTTTGACAGCGAGACCTCCGACAGTTCCCATGCGCGGAGAATGGATTTTGCTCTATGTAAGTGTGGGCTTCTTTACTGGTTTTTAAGTTAATTCACCCAAAATTGTTTAAATTTAATTTTAGACTCGACAGGTAAGCTATTGGAAATTGCATGGTCTCGAGATTGGTGCTTAACATTATTTATTTTGTTCTGTATATAAACGTGAATGTTTCAAAAAAAAACATTAATAATTTGTGATTTGATTTATGTTGCGCTGATTATTTTTTTGTTTTGGTTTTACGAATAATATAGGCGAAGTGGGGAGTGGGCCCCGCAGCAATAGCCCCCTCATTGACGTGGAAGCCGTGTCTGATGACGAATCGGACACCCACAACAGTGGTGTAGGTCAGTGTGCTAAAAACCATTAATTTACTGTTGTCTGTCGATGTTGTCTCTCACTGTTGCATCTGACTGTTCTTAACTGTTCTTGGTGTCTTAACCTTTTCTCTAGTTATGCTAATTAACAGAGACTATACTAATATAATTAACTCTATCGCTACTTATCACAGATCTACATTTACTAAATTAATCTTAGTTTATTTTTGCTTTGACATGTTTTAGTAGAGTGCTTGCAGCATGCGTCTATTTTACTTTAGTGATAATTAGGAACAGTTATAGACAAAATTAATTATTCAACTACAGCATAAGTAACAAATGGATTCACAATTCAAATTGGTTTTATTATTAATTTTGTCTGTGATTATACCTACACACAACGCCAGAATAGTTTAAGATCTATTAATAATCAAAAAGGTGTAGAATTGGCTGAAAGGATTTGGACTTTAGCTGTCATTTTAAAACAAAAGGAAAAGAAGATGAAACTACGCAAATTATTGTAACATACGTAATCAAAACCGCTTCAGTAAATTAACAAAGATACTAATTTATTCAGTGGCGGATTTCCAAAGAATATTTGATAGGCTGGCCTGGCTTCGGAACAAATTTATCTATTATAGTAGGGGAGCCCAATAGGGAATTTTGGGATTTACTCGAGCGCGTCAAATTAAAGTAAGGTGGGTTGACTACGTGTTGAAAAGTGTGCATTTGAATAATCTGTAACCCTGCCGTAAAAGATTGGGAAGGTCTTGGGCAGTACTGTTCTGGATTTCCTGATTTGGAGGGGCGGGGGGCGTGGATTTATTTTTAAACCGCCTAGAAAGTGCGCCTGGAAAGCACTTACCTAAATTCTATGGAAAGTTCGAGTGACTTCCAGAACCACACAGCTTTTTAATCCCTTCCCAGAACATTCTTGCGTCTTTCCAATACTGTTTAGTTTCTCCGCAGTTTTTCGCTGTTTTTATACCCAGGATGGTCTAGAATGATCTAAAAGTAGCGTAAAAAGGACAACTTTACAATAATGCCTCTTTCAGCATAAAAATGATCTACAAGTACTCTAGAAATAAGAGCGCTTAGTCTACGCTTAACAGACTCTACAAAACGATCAGCCACCATGGAAAAATTAGTTTTCCAGAATCATATATGTATTTTTCATAGATTTTTCATCTTACCAGACTCTAGAAAACGGTCAAAAGCTATGAAAAACCCCAGTGCTTTCCAGAAGGAAACTCTGAGTGAATTCCAAAAGTATTTTCCACAGATTTTCTATCCCTTCCCGGTGCATTCTGGCATCGTTCCAATATAGTGTTTAGTATACACTTTCTACGTTCTTTTTGGGTCTAGCGAAGCTTAGGGGAGGTTAAGACGAATTGCCCTGCAATAAACGCTTAAATACGGCAAAACTGCCAATCACCAAAACAATAAGCGTCTACGAAAAACAACAATTAACGTCCGTCGCTTCTACGAGTATATAAAACAATTTCTCTTGCTTTTCAACTTCCGCCTCCACTTCCTTATCAAATTACTACGTCGATGAATAATAAACTGCGCCCGCGTTTTCTTATCTTGAAACTAATTAGCTTAGCGATAACAAAACTTCTTATCTACGACCGGATAAACTTTTACAAACCCTACGCAATTATTTCCAGTCTTTGAACACGTAATGAATATGAATAAATAAATAAAATACAAGGTGATTATTTAAACAAAATTAACAACTAATTATTCTGATACAAAACAAAATTGACCTCGAATTGAATTAATATGATCGAATTTCAAATTTTTTGCCAAAAAGCTATGTATTGACAAATTCGTTTACTCAGAAACTTGGTCATTGGTGTTTCGACGATCTTCATCAATTGCACGTTTGACTTTGGTAACGTTTTCCTCATTTCTTTCTTTCAAATGACGCCCGGTGCGTGACATGTACATTTGAACTTAGAGGTGCAACCTTGTGGGCTCAAAAGGACGCGTTCAGCCAAATCTGTAACAGACAACAGCACAAACAAACAAATAAAAGGGGTAGTGAATAGCTTGGCACAAAATAGATTGCGTGCGCAATCCTAACGCTTGACACTTAGGTAATTGTATACTAAAACCGTAATTAGTACTCAACAAGAATCGATAATTCGAATGACTTTACACTAGCAAAAGCAAATTTTAAAATTGAAATGGTTAATGCACGTAGAATTTTTCAAACCGGTAACGTAGAAACATTAATCGTCAATACTAATCTTAATAAGGAGGCGGGTCCAAGTAAAAATGCTATATCATCCACCTACGTAATATATTCCGGTAGATACAACGCTATTCCTAAAGAAACAACGATGAGAACAAAAAAAAATATTTTGAGAGAAGGTGCTCTAGAAAACTTACGTATTAAGAAAAAAATGCTGCGTAATCATCTTAACATACCTCGTACTATTTGCATGCAAACAGAAATCCGTAAAAACTCTTCAATGGAGCCACAGCCCAGACATCATAGAAAGAAAAAGCAACCACTCCAAAGATAAATGGTAAAGCCAAAACAATAATCCCTTATGCAGGTAGACGCGAAGCCGGTAAGAGAAAAATTTGCATGCAACCAATGCGAAACAGAAACCGCATTGAAAGGTAAAGAAATACAACTGCGCTAGGAAACACCGAATTAAAGAAGAAGGGATAGCAGTGTCCTCCGGCGACGAAACAAAGAAATATAGTAATAAGAAATCTATAACAGCGAAAACAAAGAACTAAGCGAATAATAAATCTACTGCAGGAATTAACAACTAGTGGATTACAAAGAGAATACCTACATAGATGGCGTAAGAATATCAAGTACCTACACATCAGCGAAAGAATTTAAATAATTGTGCGAATCAAAAGTAATTTCAATCATGAGTATCAATTGGTAAGAAAATAACGTTACATACCTTTTAACTTTTAAGGGTCTCCATAGATCAAAGCCTTATGTAGTTCGCCAGAAGTGTTCTAAATCCCATCCAGGGGTTCTGGAGCATTTTTAGAAAAGTTCGAAAATCGACCAAAACCCCTGGAAAGGGCTGGATAGCTCTAAAAAGACGCAAGAATGTTCTGGAAAGACGTTGGAAGGTTTTGTAAAACACAATAAACCTCTAGGAAGAACTTTCCATAGTCTTCGAGTGCTTTCCGGAGCGTTTCTTCCAAGGTTCGATTTCTAGGCGATCTTCTAAGTCAAATCTAGACCTTTTCTGGGCTCTCTAGATATTTGGTTAGTTAATTTCGCCTATACAAAGTATAAGAATGCAAAAAGAAATGGGGAGCAAAAATAACATTATTCTTAAATATTTCATTTGGGAAAAAGTCCCAGCATTTTCAGTATTACATTGCAGGTTAAACGTTGCATAGATTTTCCTTCCCTATTTTTAGCGCATTTTTTAAGAATTAAAAAAATGTGCCCACTCCTGCCGTTTTGAACTACTTCTAGGGGAATGGTCCTAGAGTCCTGGAATTTTTTGCAGTATTTAGCCTATCCCTTCTTTATGTCTTATCAAAGTAAGGGGGGGAGGGGGAGGGGTGGTGGTGCAACTAATTTTATCCTTCATGGTACTCTAATGAAAGGTCTCAACGAGGAATTAATTTCTACCAACCACAGCCCTCCTCCTCGACCTCTTATCGTGATCAGGTATATTCCCTTATACCTCAAGAACGGATTGTCGGAAGAAATATATCCAGTGGTGATGTCAAAACAAAAGCAATTTCGGTTTAAAAAAATGCGCTTTATCTGCACAAGAGTTGTGCACAACTTATACTTGTTAATATAATGTTTACAAAATTCCTACTCCCAATAGATGTCGCGCTGAAGGGAGGTGTAAACAAATTCGAATTCTACGATACCTGGCGATTTTGGACATGAAAGTGAATTCATACTTTCAAATTATTACAGAATTTAACTAACGGTATAGCGCATATTTTCGAATAAACAAAAAATTCACTTCCTTTTTATACATTCGGATACATAAATTTGTAATGATCTTAGGGGCTCCCAGGCCGGCACTGCAATCGTGAAAGGTAAAATGGTATATTGTCAATTATTGTCCATTATTCTAGATAACATTTAATATTTCTGCAATATTCATTTCTGAGCATAAGCTTGAAAGAACGGTGTCCGTTTCTTCTCAATATTCTTGGAACATGCTTTACACTTGACTCATCACTACTCTGCATATGCAATTTGGAATTATGGATATTCACAGGGCATTCTACAGGTTATTAGAATTGCTGATTTCATAGGATTTCTAAATATTTAATCACGAATTTCTCCATTTTTTTTATATCAACCATTTGCAAATTTTATGTTGTAAGTACATCAGATTGATTGCTCTTTTCAAATATCTTAAAAAACATAAGCATTGCATTTAAAAAACAAAAGTTTCGTCGCTTTCTGGTTAAACCGGAAGTGATGCCGGAAGTTCCAATATGTGATCGGATAGATCGAAATGTCACATATAAAATTATATTTGACAAATTTTTCGTATCTCGCCCAATTAAAGAGTTATTGGGAAGACCCTCTTATCTCACGCACTGTATATTCATAGAATTATCTGGGAGTGCCAGAGCAAAACATAAATATAGAAGAAATGTTAATTAGAGGACCCCCTTTTCTCGTATAGGTTAAGAGCTGCAGTTAAACGGCGAAATATACAGAGAAACGTCAAATTAGAGGACCCCCCTTCTTGTACATGCTAAGACACAGGAGCTGCGAGATGAAGGAGGAACAAATGCAACGGAGAATCGAACTGCATGCGGTCTATTCTATATAATAATTATTATCGAATTGAAAAACACCCTGGTACCAAACTTTTAAAAGGAGCATTCCAAACAATCTTAGTTTTAAAGGGCACGAAACTACGACTCATGCTCATGTTGCTTCTCGTAGGTCACGGACCAACTTCTTTATATGCTAATTGCTCTTGAAAGTGCCAATTTTTACGAGAGTAAACGGTCCGAATTCATCGTACGTTCACTTTCAGTGTATAATAGATATTTATATTCACACGCATTACAGAGAAGGTTCCAAAATCAATAGTAAAGTAGATACAATTTTTAATAGTTCACATCAAAATGAATGTGAAATTTATATTGCATTTTGCATGTTTATATGTATAGCGCCATTGAAATAGCGTTCAAGTGTGATTTTGAAAGTTATTAGAGCCGAACTTGCAAAGTATTTATATATAGAAGAAGAAAGATGGGAAGGTTTGCACTTGACTAAGATAGTTTGAAACTTTTCTAATTACACCGTACTTTAAACTTCATCTAATCCTTTCCTAAATCTTAGTTAGTGATACTTAAACCAATTCCAACAACTATAATTATTAACTGTTGCTTTAGAACTGTGTGATTCAGTTATATTGTCGGTGTTTGCTAGATTAAGTGTACAACTTTTGTGGTTGTGTCTGGTCTTTTCTTAGACACCAACCGCAATTACAAATTTAATTTAAACATCCACTAATTTGCACTTTTTTTTTGCTCAGGGGAGCAAGATGCGCGGGTGCTAACTCTAGCAGAGCAAATTATTGCTGCAATTCCTGAACGGATCAAGGTGGGGTAGCTACACAATTATCGACGGTGTTGTTACTGTGAACTTTTTCAGAATGAAAGTGAAGAAATGATGTTAGATCACAGTCCAGAACCGAGCGATACTCTTCAAGCTAATGACACACTATCTGACGTTTTTATGGAGCCACTCCTAGATCAAACTGGCACTTCATTCGAACCTTCGGAGTACAACTTTGATTTTTCCGATCACAACTACAGGTATCCACGGAGAATCTTAGAGACGCGCCTTAATTTCCATTTCGTAGGTATTACGATGTCAGCACCCCTTGCTCAAGCTTAAGCCCGGCATCGTCGAGCTGCTTACAGTCGCCCTGCTCCTTCACTTTAGACTCCCCCTCGCCGCCACCAACAACCGCGGATTTCTGCGAGTTCTTTCAGGCGTCGGGAAGCTTATTTGAGAAAGATTTCTCTAATCTAACTCTCTCAGGTATTGGTAAAGTTGAGGGAAGGCAGTTGCTTAGTGAGAACCTTACAGATCAGGAACAAAGGGAGCTGTACGAAGCGGCGAAAATCATCCAGAAAGCTTACCGCTCTTACAAAGGGCGCCAACAGCAAGAGCAGGACAAGGAGAGGGCCGCCGCTATCATCATACAAAACTATTACCGACGTTACAAGCAGTACGCCTACTTTAAGCAAATGACTCACGCCGCCATGGTCATTCAAAACGGTTTCCGCTCGTATTGCGAACACAAACGGTTTAAGAAGAACCAGGAGGGATCCGTGGGAATACAGAGTTACTACCGCAACTACAAGGAGGGAAATCGAGAGGGTACGCCCGCTTCCGGTCTGAAGTACGTTTCCCTCGATCCTTTTTAATAACAGGCTAATCTTCCGTCCTTAGGCGAACTTATTCTCAGAGGCGACAGCACCAAGCCGCTAGGAAGATACAGCAGTTTATGAGACAGTCCAAGAACAAGTGAGTATTTTTCTAAGCGTAGTACCGAATTCGATATGGCCGTCCGAATTTAGTCCGTTAACTTTGAATTGTCTTTGTTATTGCACTCGTAGTACATGGAATGAGAAAATAAACACGACGGTAAGTGCAATACATTCCATGCACATTATCAAAATTTATAGACTGTCAATAATCATTATAATTTCCTTTCTTCAAAATTGTTCCCTCTAATCATTAAAAATGGAATACTAAACGAAAACTACTTTCCACTTAAATTACCCGCACCCATTGAAATGTAATTACAAAAATAAGTGCACATACACTCGATGCATGCATGAATACATCGAAACGGAAAATTTTAACACAAAAATAAAGTTTAGATACGTCCCCTTAATTCTTCCTCATATTTCATCTCAAATGACAGAAATCTAAGATGTTCATATTTTGCTTTTCTTATTAAAAGACTCAATCGTATGATGGTTCACGTGGTGTTTGTAGTTCTCTCTTTCCACGTGACCTCCAAAGGAAAAGATCAAGTTACTTGATGAGCCCTTTTCGAAATCGAGATAAATGTATAAGGTTGCTCCTATCCACCCCACAGAATACGGCCTTCTCAGAATAGAAACAGCAATGTTACAAATTTGTATGGTATTTTGGCGGACCCTGGTGGGTGTGCTGTGAACTAAAGCATCAAAATCAGAGTAGCGCCATCTGGTGACCAGCTTCGAAAGCCATGAAGTAATTTCCCCAATTCGATCTAAATCACAAATATCGATAAAGAATACACAGTTGTTAAATTGCAAGTGTATAGATACAATCACATTACATTATTTAACACAGACATCTTAAATTACATGTTTACGAATTACATATAAAACTCAGAAGTAAGTGCAACTTACGCTTTGTAGAAGTTAACACTTTGCAAAAAGATCCTTACGTACCGATTTGTCCTACGAAATATTTGGTTTTAAATTGCTGTTTGGCCTACATATTTTTATTAAAAAATATCTTTAGAACTAAATTTTTTGTTCCAAGAGGTAATAAAACCGTTTCAGCAAATTGTCACACAAGTTTTTGACAACAAATGTTAACTTGATCCTGGTGCTTACTGGTTACTTGAGAAGCGAGGGTGGAAGTTGTTGAATTATCTAAAACGAATTACAATATAAGTATCTACGTCTATATAAATATAAAACTCAAGTCTACACCCTTTTGCCTATAGGTACAGTTGGTAATAATTGTGCATCAAATTGTACCTGTTACTTACCTTGCATAAATAGGAAAGAAATAACAGCACATTTCAATCCTCTTCGCGTTTCAAGCACAAAACAATCTGTTTCAAAACGTGGGAAACGATGCCTTTTTGATATTTTATTGTTACAATCCGCCACACAACACTTTTTACGGCCACATAACTTGTTTATATTTTAAATCTTCCAAAAGTCAAATTGACATGTGTAAAACTATGTGTACGTATAAAATCGACGGTCAAAATATTTCCTGTAACGAGCAAAATTACAGGTTTTGCAAAAAAATATTTGAGTCTGCGATAAATAGTTCTCCGTACAACCACGGGAAACGCTGTAATCACTGACAATTTAGCGCCATTTATGTTTCTGTTCTGTGAAGGTCTTATTCTGTGATCCACCCCTGTCAAACAACTTACCAGCATTCACACTAACCACCTTCTCTCCATAGAAATCGTCTTGAGTCGCTATTCCCCTAGGTGAAGGCTAATATTCGTGGCATATGAAGTTACAGGAATTTGGTAGTGGTCCGAATTATACTTCTTCTATTTTTCAGTTTGCGCAATTGTAAAAAGAAATTAATTTGCCGTCGCCAACGTCTTTGATTGAAAACACACAGAAATGTTTACCGACCAGTTTCGAACTCTTATTTTTTATTAATACAATAACACTCCGTTCTTTGAGGTTGGAACTGAGCGTTCGTGATTAATTTTCTTAAAATGGTTTCTTCACTTAAGCTGCCGCTAACTCTTACTTTTTTTAATAACTTAGCCTCTTCAGCAATTAAAATTCTCGCAGACGACTCTAATCTATCAAGGTCTCAGTGCGTCTCCCACCTTTCCCTTGCCTATATTGCTTTCCAAGCTGGTAAACGGTACAAACGCGTCTATTTTCCGCCAACCACAAGCCCCCAGTCTTATCTATTTTCCTTGCTGTGCTCGATACAGCCGGAGCAATCGGAAAATTGGCGGCTTTCCTCGATCTACGCGTCCCAAACACGTCTGGCTATCGCTAATGAACCTCCTTCCGATTACTATTTGTATGAAGCGGTAAACGGCCATTTTTCCCACAATTTTTCCTAATTAATTCCCAATTGTTTCTCAAGTTTCTCTTGTGCACCTATCCAGTTGTTTGTAAATTCTTCTGAAACTGCCCCTTATGTTTTTCTCAAGCTTGGTCCTTCAGTTCTCAAATAGCCTTCAAGTTCCTTTCAAGCTTCTCTTAATTTTCTTATATATCTCCTCCAGGTCCTTTAATCTCTCCTGAAACTGTTTCTTTAATTCCTCTATTCAGTTGAGTTCATCTTCAGATCCCTTGAAATTGTCACGAATTCCCTTCACAAGCTTCTCTCAATTTCCTCTCAAGTTGCTATCAAGTCCTTTTGAAACTTCGAGCCTCTTTGCAGTAGTTACTCCTCAAGTACTTCGCTAGTTTTTAAATTGCCTTCAAACTGTGCTCAGTTTTCGTAAAAGTTCTCTTATGTATCCCGCCAACTTCCTATCAAGTTCCTCTTGTTTTTGTGTATAATTTCTTCCCAAAAACAACATCTGAATCAATTCTGCTCTTCTAAATTTGCGTTTGCGTTTCTAATAATTGTTTTCTAATTGTGCAAAGGCACTTTAAAGTTTCAAAAATTCTAACAGGAGTTTTCATGGGGATAATGTTTTTTTATTTTTATGTTTAAAGTGCTATTTGGTCCAGAGAAGCCGATTTCAATGAACCTCCATTAATACTTTTAATAATCTGACTGCTAAACTGGTAAACTTAAATGGGAATAGGTTCATAAACTGAAATTCTAATCTGATAATAATAAGTAATCCATTTGGCTCAACAACTAAAGAACTTTTCCCAGTTAAATTGTGTTAATTAAAATATACATAACAAACTTCATTCATTTTCTACTTGAAAGTCTGTACTACACCGTATTAATTTACGGTTTTTTCAATGAATGAATTAACAACATACAAAAAATCACACGATTATTTGGAAATGTCGACGAGATCCACAGATTCCTGCGTAGTGGAAAATTCCCCTAGGGCAAGGTCCCCGTTCTTTGGTATATGCAGTATATTTACGGGAAGTGGAAAAAATTTGCTGTGGATAGCACAGATATGCCACCCGCACACTTGCGCATGGCGATTCTGCGTAGTGGAAAATTCCCCTAGGATGTCAGCGCCCTTTGGTAGGCATAGTTTCTTTACGGAAAATGGAAACATTCCAACATACGAGTATGTTGATAATTGAAAAACGCAGTTCGTCTCAAATGAAGTATATCCTAGCTTACTCATCCAGCAATCACAGTATTCCACTATAGTAAGAAGATCTATACTCAAAGGCACTCGTTGCACGTGTGTTATCTTTCCCTTACTTCGGTATTGCCGCGCTTAAAAACCGATACGGCCCCAACGCAACAGGACGGTTCGTCTCCCCCACAAAAGTTGCCGCAGCGCTTTTCAACCAATCGCGTCTTTATTTATTTATAATCTGTTGCCCAACTTAACAACGGTTAGACGAACGACGACGAAGGCTAGCACCTTAATAAATATGAATGGACCTTTTTAATTGTTACAATCCTACCAGTCGCTGATATTAGGCGGATGGAGCTGTTGTCGCCTCGGTTCGAATTTCCACAGATATGCTGTATTGGTAACTTCGCACATCTAAGTTGATTTAAGGTACCCCTCTCACCTCTAGCTTCACTTCATTGTTATCGCTGGTTATCGCCAGACACACTTTCCTTCACGTTCGCTATGAAGCGGGACACGTGTAAATTTCTATGCTGAACAAAAACCAAATTCTAAATACTTTTTTAATTCTAAAGCGGCCAACATCGAGCTTTACGACTCTGGAGGGGTGAGATTTTTAATCTCCAATGAGCGTATTCTGCACCGGGTTACTGGAGGTCTTAATGTGGACATAGTATGACCAAAAAAGATTACATATTTACAGAAACAATGTACTCACTTAACACTGCCTTTTTTTAGCCCCGAAAAAAAAATTGCCTCACATCGACCCGGAAAAAAAATTTCTTTTAGAATGTGACCTGTAGAATCCATAATCTCAAACAGTTCCAAGATTGGGCTACTAGTTCAAAAGTTACAGCCCTTTGAATTTTTTTCGAAATTGGTTTCTAGTCTATAACTTTTGATTGAGAAGTCTGATTGAAAAAGTACCAATTGATTTGGATTCTACGCACCCAAATTAATAAGAAAAAGTGTTTCCCGAGAAATTTTGGTGTAGTTGATTTTTGGTAAAAAAGGAAGGTTATACACTGCCTTTTTTTGAGCCCCGAAAAAAAAATTGTCTCAGATCGACCCGGAAAAAAAATTTCTTATAGAATGTGGCCTGTAGAATCCATAATTTCAAACAGTTCCAAGATTGGGCTACTAGTTCAAAAGTTACAGCCCTTTGAATTTTCTTTCGAAATTGGTTTCTAGTCTATAACTTTTGATTGAGAAGTCTGATCGAAAAAGTACGAATTGATTTGGATTCTACGCACCCAAATTAATAAGAAAAAGTGTTTTCCCGAGAAATTTTGGTGCAGTCGATTTTGGTAAAAAAAGGAAGGTAATAACTGCCTTTTTTTGAGCCCCGAAAAAAAAATTGTCTCAGATCGACCCGGAAAAAAAATTTTCTTATAGAATGTGGCCTGTAGAATCCATAATTTCAAACAGTTCCAAGATTGGGCTACTAGTTCAAAAGTTACAGCCCTTTGAATTTTTTTTCGAAATTGGTTTCTAGTCTATAACTTTTGATTGAGAAGTCTGATCGAAAAAGTACGAATTGATTTGGATTCTACGCACCCAAATTAATAAGAAAAAGTGTTTTCCCGAGAAATTTTGGTGTAGTCGATTTTTGGTAAAAAAGGAAGGTTATACACTGCCTTTTTTTGAGCCCCGAAAAAAAAATTGTCTCAGATCGACCCGGAAAAAAAATTTTCTTATAGAATGTGGCCTGTAGAATCCATAATTTCAAACAGTTCCAAGATTGGGCTACTAGTTCAAAAGTTACAGCCCTTTGAATTTTCTTTCGAAATTGGTTTCTAGTCCATAACTTTTGATTGAGAAGTCTGATCGAAAAAGTACGAATTGTTTTGGATTCTACGCACCAAAATTAATAAGAAAAAGTGTTTTCCCGAGAAATTTTGGTGCAGTCGATTTTTGGTAAAAAAAGGAAGGTTATACACTGCCTTTTTTTGAGCCCCGAAAAAAAAATTGTCTCAGATTACGGTACTGGCTAACAAACTTTGGACGGTAACAGTGCTGGTATCAGAAAATTGAATGCATTTATTTAGTAGGTACTAAATAGTACTGCTGTTCGTTTATGTCTTGGTCACCATGTACCTACTGGCTCTAATGGCGCGATTATGTATACAGTGATATTCATGTAGAAGTAGACATAGGGATTTCCTATGTCTACTTTTATATGATAAAGTCTGAAAAACGCCTAATTTTATGCAACCAAAATATCTTCTTGAAGATCTGGTTGTCTTATTAATTATTAATTTGAATATTGTTGCTTAGCCTCACAGAAAATAAATCTATTAAGCTCCTTTAACTGTTATCGGCACTATACCAATTGGAAATATCAACTTTTTCTTTAGTTGAATCACATCGCACACGAACCGAAATTAGAATAGGGAAGTCAAAGCGATAATATTGGAATTAATTAATATGACAGGCAAATCCTCATTTGTTGTAGGTAGTTACTTTGGTTGCATAAAATTAGGCGTCTTTCAGGAGACTTCATCATATAACAGGTAGACATAGGAAATCCCTATGTCTACTTCTACATGAATATCGCTGGATATTTTCCAAATTTGATAAACCTTCCCCATGAAATATATTGTCAACAATAAATTTCATGGGGAAGGTGTATATTTATCAAATTTGGAAGCAGTTTGAAACCCCATTTTGAGCTTACAAGATGGATCCCAATTTAGATATCACTGTATAATTATGAAAACAGAATCTTCTTTGAAATTTAAAGATTTTTACTTACTACAATTTCATAAGATTTTCGTGTGATCAAGGACGAATTTGACTTAAGTGGACTTCACAAAGACTAACCCATGTACCCCTGACTTCAGCCATGAATTACCTACCCACTTTAGCGAAAAACAATTCTATTCTCATTTCTGATGAGTCTGTTGTCTGTGTACAAAAAAAAAGCCTAACACCTTTTCATTTGTTTCTAAATTAACAGAAATTATTTTCAGGTAAAATATCTGACGTCACCGGAACCTACGACCTCTCGTTCTTCTTAGCGGGAATATTCATAATATTATCAGGCTTAATGCTACTGATCTTGCCCGTTACCAACAAGGTCAAACGTTACACGTTACAAAGGCAAGAGTCGACGTCCGACAACTCGAACGAAGAATCGAAGTGGCGAAAGATCCTCAACACGTGCATCAAATCCAAAACAAGTCCCAGCAAGTGCGCCCCGGAGAATCACGTATAAAATAGTTTAGCGATTATTTCGAACAATCTTAGAGAATCAATTCAAAGTAAACCAGTATTGCTCTTTGCTAAAATTAGAAATTTAACGAAACTAGATTCTATAATAAAGGAGAATCCTCGATTATTTATATTTAAATAGTTAACGTCCATTATTTAGAGACTTAGGGAAAATAGCACAAACAATATTTGCACACTCGAAAAACGAAATGGGAATGCGTATATGAATTAAACGATTTATCTAAATTTAGGTGTTGTTAATTAGCGTGACTTATTATAATTCAAGAAAATAGTGTACTAGATCAAGTTAACCCTTATAGAATCTCGAAACTTTAAAAAGTATTGGGTTGGCGCTTCTCCCTCTTCATTAGTATATTTATCAAATTTGGAAGCAGTTTGAAACCCCATTTTGAGCTTACAAGATGGATCCCAATTTAGATATCACTGTATAATTATGAAAACAGAATCTTCTTTGAAATTTAAAGATTTTTACTTACTACAATTTCATAAGATTTTCGTGTGATCAAGGACGAATTTGACTTAAGTGGACTTCACAAAGACTAACCCATGTACCCCTGACTTCAGCCATGAATTACCTACCCACTTTAGCGAAAAACAATTCTATTCTCATTTCTGATGAGTCTGTTGTCTGTGTACAAAAAAAAAGCCTAACACCTTTTCATTTGTTTCTAAATTAACAGAAATTATTTTCAGGTAAAATATCTGACGTCACCGGAACCTACGACCTCTCGTTCTTCTTAGCGGGAATATTCATAATATTATCAGGCTTAATGCTACTGATCTTGCCCGTTACCAACAAGGTCAAACGTTACACGTTACAAAGGCAAGAGTCGACGTCCGACAACTCGAACGAAGAATCGAAGTGGCGAAAGATCCTCAACACGTGCATCAAATCCAAAACAAGTCCCAGCAAGTGCGCCCCGGAGAATCACGTATAAAATAGTTTAGCGATTATTTCGAACAATCTTAGAGAATCAATTCAAAGTAAACCAGTATTGCTCTTTGCTAAAATTAGAAATTTAACGAAACTAGATTCTATAATAAAGGAGAATCCTCGATTATTTATATTTAAATAGTTAACGTCCATTATTTAGAGACTTAGGGAAAATAGCACAAACAATATTTGCACACTCGAAAAACGAAATGGGAATGCGTATATGAATTAAACGATTTATCTAAATTTAGGTGTTGTTAATTAGCGTGACTTATTATAATTCAAGAAAATAGTGTACTAGATCAAGTTAACCCTTATAGAATCTCGAAACTTTAAAAAGTATTGGGTTGGCGCTTCTCCCTCTTCATTAGTATTTTATGTTAAAATACTATAGTGGAGTGTTCGTTTGCGTTTTCTAGTACAAATCAGTATTGCGATTAAAATGTAATCAAACTGGGACTTGCATAGCGCCTGCAAGTGTAGCAGGTAATTACAAATTGAATGTCCCTATACATAGTTTTGACTTGCCCCGGAGTAACCAGATAGATTGTTCAAAGCGTGGTTATTTCATGTAGAAGGCTGTGTTAGTGATATATCTATATTTCTTAATCTAGTTTTTAGCCTTGTCTTATTCAGGTGCCACTTCTGTCTCTGAAATATTCCATGGAGTATTTGCGAGACACCCGTGGTACTGGTTTGTTATTGAGGTTACTAGCGGAATTTAGTAGTGAACCATTAAAAGTATAGAACAATCATAGTACATCGAGGTTGTTATAGTTTTTACTTTGTTGTACAATGGACTAGATGGATATTTTAAAGATACATTTATTACAATGGGACTAAAGTGTATTTAAAATATCTATTTTCATTGAAATGATAAGCGCATCTGTGATTGTACCATAAACATAATAATAATAACAACTCCAGTATCTCTACATTTTACTTGGTTTTTAGGTTTTTCTATTATCTGTATTATGTAACTATCTAAATGTTTTTAGTTTTAATCAAATTTTCAATTTGATCACTCTGACCTTTACTATTCTTGATATTAGATACTATAGCATGATAATGTAAAAATCCTATGAAATAAAATTACTGTATCCAGTATTGATTTGTAGGTACTTGACTTTGACTTTGAACTTTTAAAATAATGGCATTGTAAAACATTCACATCGAAGAAGGTCATAACAATTATGTGATGTGCAAAGAAGAGGCATCAAAAAGAAGATTTTCATTGGGATTTTGACTACCTATGCAGTGAATCTAAATGGTGTGTTTCTGATATTGCAAATTAAACTGAAGCAAAGAATATTTTTCTGTGTTATGCCCATAACCTGTTGTGGTCATTTTAGAAGCGACCACAATGCGAATTGGATGGTTTCAATCAAGCGAACACCGGATTTTTTCAGTTTTAACTTATTTCCTTAATGCTATATATCGCTAGTAATTGAGTTGTTAGCTTGATTTGATGATTTCAAGTTATACCATTTTAATCGTTAATGTAATAGTAAGAAATGGCATTGCTGTTCTAAGCAAGTACTATGCAGCTCTTGTAAAAGCAAATTAGACACACATTAAAGCATCTTATTAAAATTGAATGAATTACACAATTACGAAGAATTCTAAAACGAATAACAAATACGGAAATTCAAATTCAAAAAAATCGCCAGTGTGCTTATTCGTAGATAATCCCTACGGGGTCAGGATTTGGCCTATTTTCAATTGGCTTGTTACATCTGGTATATATGTTAACTGTACAAAGTTTGAACCGAAAGGTTCAAGCGTTTGCCAGAGACCGAGAGGTGTGACCCCAAAGGGTCATTGGATGTGACTCATTTTCAATAGGCTTATTACTTTAGGCATGTAGGTCAACTGTGTAAAGTTTGAACCAAATCCGTCCAAGCGTTTGACAGTTATTGTGTTCACGGACGGACAAACGGACTCCCCTATAAAGCTTGCATCGCTTTGCTCTGCCGCTTAATAATTCAATGTATTATGGTCATTCTTCAAACGAACAAAACGCGTTGTGATCGCTTCTAAAATGCCCGTAACGACGCGTTGTGGTCATTAGTTAACGACCATAACATTCTAAATTAATTTTTTATTCAATGATGCAAGGTATAAAGATCGCTTTGACACGTCAAACGTTATAGGAAAAGACCGTATTGAAAGGAAAAGAAAACAGAAAAGGCACTACAACTTACGTAATGAGAGCAGTTATTTGCTTTAAATTTTTTGCGATTTATTCCTTTCAAGTACGCGGAACGAAAATTTCTAAATTTAAAAAGTCAAGGTCTCAAGAACATTCAATCATAGAAATATTGCTTATAACAAGTTCAAGTTTTTATTTTATCGATTGCAATACATACGGCGAACTTTTTTCCTTTTCTCACACTGTCGACACTCGGCCTTTCGCACTCGACAATTAAGTAAAATTGTTCTAAATTTAATCTGGCGACCCATTGTCAAGTTTTGGAATTACACGCTAGAAACGATTATGCCACGTTGCACAAAGCGCTCTTTGGGAAAAAACAAGCTGAATAGGCAGAATCAGCATTTCTGTAGAAAGCTCTGAAAGCCAGTGACCCAATGAAAATTAATAACATATCGCCGCCATTACTTTTCCACCATTTAGTAGGCGTTGAAAAGTTGACTTAAGAGTTGAGGCCATTATTTTGCACCGAATTAAGCACTGGCGTTTAGGCAGTCGAGCTTTCGAATAGTGGCCTTTGAGCCAAAACCGTTTAAATTGATGTTCGGAATTAACCGATAGACGTTTAAGGCGTCCGTAGTGTCAATTTTCTAAACAGTTGGTTTTTTTTTTAAAATCATCATTTGCAGCAGTGGGAAATTACCTGTTCCGCAATAATCAGCATAAATTACTAGATTCTTCCACATGGAAAAAATTGTAAATATAGAGGTTAGTCGTATTTCTGTATTTTTATCAAATTCAATCGACAGCTTTACGATCTGTTGTAAGAAGGCCAGTTTTGACCTAGTGTATCATTACGATTACAATTTTACATGAGAGATCCAGAGATCTTGGAACAATGTATGCGTATATTATTATCAAAAGGACCTCCTGAATTTGTTGTCCAATTTCACTGTGAAGGAGTTATCTAAGAACTAATTTCGAACAACATTAATAATCACCATTAATGATTAAGGTATGTGTTGAAGCGTAGACCATTTTCGAAGTAAACTTTAACGGTGTCCCAATTTCGTGAATTGACAGTGACTAAGAACTAATTTGTCAACATAAAATCACCATTAATGATTAAGGTATGTTTGAAGCGTAACCATTTCGAAGTAAACTTTAACGGTCCCAATTTGTGACAGCTAGAAATTTAGGAAATAGAAAATTTAATGTAAAAAAAGGGAGATGCATCCTTTAACCGCCCTTAATATTTTCTGGTTTTTGCTCACTTTGGTGTTATTATTGTAACGTAAATTTAATTACGTCGTTTATTTATTACAACTAATTAGCAATAAATTTATAACAGTCTTAAAATGGATCAAATGTATTACAGTAAAATATTATTTACCACTTACGAATACACAAATGATGACAGCGCGAACCATTCATCACTTCGGCGTTCTAACTGCAACTAAAACGGTAACGCAATCCGGTCCGCTTATATAGCAAAGTCGAAGGTTTCCGAGCGGTCGCGAACATTCGCGAATAAAATACGTCATCCGCTCTCGTACTTTATCGCAGATTACTAATAGCGCTTATGGAAAGTTTCTGGAACGTTCGCTACATTATTTTGATGGTCAGTACAAGGCCAAAGAACTCATTTGTAGCAATTTTTCAGATAAAGGACAGGAGATCTCTTTCGTGATCAAGGGAAGTAAAGAGGAAACGTTTAATAGGGAAATCGTAAGGGATAGTCGGTAGCATTTTTTAAAACAATTATTATGATACAGTTTTCGCGTTGCCATTTCCCGTTTAATCAAAAAATCGAAAGCAATTATCAACCACTTATTTGCAAAAGACGCTTAATATATAGTGGAGCTTCCGTGACACTTTTTGACACTTCCAAAGGAAACTAGTAACTAATATATTTGCCCTTTTGTGGTAAATTCAATTTGAAGTTTATATTACTGCATTATTTGATACCGCATAGAAATCCGCTCACTTGATAGACGTTCAAAATAGTTCATCTTTAAATAAGTGATTTATTAGGATTTTAAGATACACCTATGTTTCATTTTTTTTAATAAAAATAAATAGGAATGTTTTTTTTCAATAAATTCCATTACATTTTCTAACAAGAGGTTTTTGTAACTTAAAATGGGGTAGGTACTTTTTGTTTTTCGGAGAAGGACCCTCAACTCTGAAATTAAAATCTCAATCCGGGCTTGAATAAAAATGTAACTTAGTAAATTAATTTCGTCCTGCGTATAAAAAGTGGTGATTAATTAAAAACCCATTAGGTAATTAGGTATTATCTTTTATGCATTAAACAAAATTCTTATAATTTTGAGATAAGTAGTTCAAGTTATTATAAGTAGAGCAAATGCAACGACATTAACACATTAGAACTATCTCACACGCTGTATATGAACTACAGTCTTTAAACTTTGAATTAGTTTATTTATTGAATCAATTAGCCACTGGCGTTTCATTTAAAGCAATAAACCAAATACCAAGTGGTATTTTTTACAGTTTGTGTTATAAAGGCATTGGAAATTGTTATTGCACTTGAATCCTAACCTTACTTTCAATGGTTGTGTAATGAGCGAGTAGGATGTTGCGTAAATTTTTGAATATCGTTTTAGACGCCACAGCAAGTATACCTATGCAAGCAGAGTGTGCCATTTATACCTCCCCGTTCACCAGAAAGGAAACTTCGCAATTTGCTTGGTTGTCGTCGCAGGCACCTTGTTTTCCGGTCCGTGCTGAAAACATTACTATACTAACCGAACCTCAGCAGTTCTACGATACGCTGATTGAAAAATGTCGAGGAGCGAAAGAACGGGTCACCCTGTCAAGTCTGTACGTCGGCACAGGCCAATTGGAGCAAAATCTTGTACAGGCCTTAATGGACAATGATAATTTTCAAAATGGAACCGCCAAAATTAATATATTACTCGATTACACGCGCGGAAGTCGATATAAAAATAATTCACGCGTCATTCTGAAACCTCTACTTCAACGTAACGACCAGAACTGCCACATTAGTTTGTATCACACACCGATTTTGCGAGGTTTAAAAAAGAAGTGGGTGCCGGACCGTTGGAACGAACTCTTCGGCTTACAGCACATGAAATTGTACATATTCGATGACACTTTACTAATAAGCGGAGCAAATTTATCAAACGATTACTTCACAAATCGACAAGATCGCTACTACATGATTAAAGACAGGGACTTGACGGACTTTTACAACGGGCTTGTGAGGCAGGTCCAAAGGTTCAGCTTGTATTTGGACAAAGAAGATGAAGTACACATTCGCTGCTCGTGGTCTCAGCTACCATACCAGGGTAATTTGAACGATTTTGTGGTTAATGCCGGCAATTTGGTGGAATCTTATATAACACAGTGTATAAACGAGCAAAACATTTGTAAGCGAGAAGGCTACGGTAAGTTTCGATCGATTCCTTAAGAAATGTACAAATCGTTCTGTAGATACATGGGTTTTTCCTCTGGTACAAATGGGGCAATTGGGAATCAATCAAGATGCCTGTGTTACCAAGCGTCTGCTTGCGGAGGCACCTTCTGGTGCTAGTTTATGCATCGCAACCGGATATTTTAATTTAACCTGGGATTACATGGACACACTGGTTACTAAATGCTTTGCCAATTGTAAATTATTGATGGCCCACCCAAACGTATGTACATTATTGAGGGAATTTTTATGTAATATGTATGTATACTTTAAAAAAAATGGATCAAATGCTTGGAATCATGATTCTTAGTATTACAGTATGTAGGCAACTAACATTACACCCGATAAATTTGAGCTGTTTTTGCAGTTCATGTATTTGACCCATAGCCCATATGTATACATTAAATAAAATTCCCTGCATATTTATCATAATCTTTCTATGGGCTTTTCTACTATATTCTTCTTTTTTCTCATGCACTCTGTCCATGATACCTCTTTCTTTTATCTATAGAACATACATATAAAGCATTGTGCATTAAATAACAAAAGAAAATTGAGAGAGAAAAAGAAAAGTGCATTTTCAAAAAACAAAACAGTTAATAACTGCTTCTGAATCATTATACATTAAAAGAAAGACAAATTATAAAAATTGTAAAACTAAGAAATAATATACCTATAAATTGAAGTTTTAGCAAAAAAAAGATAGTTACACAAAGGAATAATTCTATAATCAAAATGTTACTAAGGCATTCTTTTGTAGTGACAATGTGGCCTTGTTTTTTTACAATATTGAATTGTGAAGTTGATTTATTTTTAGGCAAACGGCTTTCAAGGTGCCTCATTTCCAGCGGGTGGTATACCTGACGCGTACAGTTTAATAGCTCAACGATTTAAAAATATGTTCGAAGGATTAGGACAAAGCGAACGTTTCTCAATGCACGAGTATTTTCGTGAGGGTTGGACTTATCACGGGAAAGGGTTATGGTAAGTGTATTGGAATGACTTTCATTTCCCACTATTTCTCGTTGCAGGTATTATGCACCCGAACAGGATTTGCCAAATTTGACACTGATAGGATCGCCAAATTTTGGAGAACGGTCCGTGAGACGTGATCTCGAAACACAGTTGGCGATTGTAACTGAAAATGGTGGTTTGCGACAGAAAATGGATGAAGAGTGCAAGCAACTGTACAAGTTAGGTTTACCCGCAAATGTCGATCGCGTAATTCCAAAGTGGGTGTATCCGATGGTGTATTTTTTTAGAGGATTTTTCTAATTGAAATTGTCAATAAAATGTTTTTCTAGTTTACTTTATTGGGTTTATTTACCTACAATACTGAATACATACATCCTTACAAGTTTTGAGCATCGAACTCTCGGATGAGATTTAAGAGCAATGCTTTCCCATTCGTGAAAAACATAAAAGTTCATGAAATACATTGTGCACCTTCTCCAGTCCAGAAGGTATTTGAAGGTCCTGCAGACTAAAATTGTAAGAACGAGGTAAGACTGACGACTAAATTATTATGATTAATACCCAAAGAAGATTCCATTCATCTGGGGGATTGTCTGCATGTATCAATTATTTAAATTCCCAATAATTTAAGCAGTTTGAAAATAAACGAGGAAATAGTTTTATATTTTAAAAAAATAGCATAATGGTCGAGTTAAAAAGAATATTTATAAGACCCAGTAAATTCAATGTACCTAGGTATAATTAATATGCTAGAAACTACCTATGTATTAAAAAATGTTGCATTTATCATTTGTCCCATAATCTCAATCAGCTTATTTAAAATCCTTAGAAACTTTATGTTTTAAAAGATGTTGTTTAAGATCGCCTATAGAATTTGTCTCATAATCACACTCAGGACATTTAAAATCCTTAGAAACTTTATGTTTTAAAAGATGTCGTCTGAAGACGTGTTTATAATTTGTCCCATAATCACAATCAGCACAATTAAAATCCTTAGAAACTTTATGTTTTATAAGGTGTTGTTTTAAGTTGCTTTTAACATTTGTCCGATAATTACAATCAGCACATTTGAACTCCTTAGAAACTTGATGTATTAAAAGATGTAGTTTGAAGACTTGTCGACCATTATTTGTCCCATAATCACAATGACCACATTTAAAATATTTAGGATCTTTATGTGTTAAAAGATGTCGTTTGAGGAGTTGTTTATTATTTGTCCCATAATCACAATCACCACATTTAAAATCTTTTGAAACTTTATGTGTTAAAAGATGTTGTTTAAAATTAGATTTATAATTTGTCTCATAATCGCAATCAGCACATTTAAAATCCTTATAAGCTAAATGTTTTAAAAGATGTCGTTTAAAGGCGTATTTATCATTTGTCACATAATCACAAGTAGCACATCTAAAACCATTAGAAACTTTATGTATTAAATGTTGTGTGAAGAGGGATATACGATTTGTCCTATAATTACAATCATGACATTTAAACACTTTAAAAGCTTTATGTATTAAAAGATGTCGTTTGAAGATGAGTTTATTATTTGTCCCATATTCACAATCAGCACACTTAAAATCCTTAGAAACTTTATGTTTTAAAAGATGTCGTTTTAAATTGATTTTGTCTGTTGTTTCATAATCACAATCAGCACATTTAAAATCTTTAGATACTGTTTTACAGGGGGGATTTACGTGCTCTTGCAAGTCGGAGTGTTGCTGTACTTCTTCATTATAAATGGACTTAGAACATGGTGTACTAATTGTAATTTCATTCTTTATTGTCACCAAAAGTTCGTTGCTTACTGAAATGTGTCCCTGAAGATAGGAATCAATTTCTTCTTCTTGCTTTGGTTCGATTTTAAAGAGTAGTGTGTCACCATCTCCATCCATACCTAACAACAATAATACCTAATGTTATAAATAAAGGTGTTAAAAATCTCTTTTGGTTTATCAAAAATCTATTTTGGTATTAAACAATACACAGCAAGACACTAGGACACAGACTTCAAGTGCCCTAGGACAACTAGACATTACTTAGTACTTACTTTCTGAATGTCACAGAATTTGTTGAATTAAGAGTACACCAGGCCACCAGTAGTTATTTACTTTGTTTATATATTATAATGTAGTGTTCAAATCAAAGGTTAAAATAATAGTCTAGTCTAGGCTATGCAGCCTTAGACTATGAAAGAAAGAGCGATCTCAATAAAAAATGGAGGTCAGTGAGGCTGTCGCTCTAACGCTAACTTCACACAGAGATTGGTATGTACAAGGTGCATTCGATTATCCGTTTCAGGAGTCGGCAGAGCGTACGGTGGAAAAGGTCAAGTAATCATCGTGGGAATATGTACAAATATTCATTGTGAACGCAAATGATGTCCAAATTAACTTTAGGAAACAAATCGCAAACCAAAACAATCAATTAGAGAAGACAGAAAGGTTAACACATTTTTTGATGCACCAATAAATGAACGCTTTAGAGCAATGGACTGTCGTACACTCACTTTTGTAATTAAAAAAAATGATCAAAGTCCTCGTGTGAGATCGAAGGGACTTCAGCGCATTTTTGTGTGGCAGATCAGTGTTTTATTAGCCAATATTGACTCCACCATCAATAAGATCTTGCCGAAAGCTACCACGTTCACTTTGTCGGTACCATTTTCTCACTTACCGTGCATTCGCAATTCGCGTTTGAGTTTTGACTCCACCGTCAGTAAGATCTCGTCGGGGGTTACCATATTCCCTTTGTCGACACCCACTTGTGATCACCCGCAACAATTCGGATTTGAAGTTTCGACTCCACCATCAGTAAGATCTCGTCGGGGGTTACCACATTCCCTTTGCCGATACACAGTTCCGACGTCCCGTTCATTCGTAATTCACATTTTGGTAGATTTCGCTAAAATCCCGGCATAAAATCGTATTCAACTTTTGGGTACTTCACATAGCTCGACCTTCTATTAGTGACACGAGAAAGAGAGACCGCGATTCGCGCTGTAAGAAACTTTTGGGCGCCCAAAGTCGACTACCCCTCGAAGCGCGCCGCGCAAAAGGTGGTTTATTTCGCCCCTAGGAAAAAAAACAAAATTCCGCCACGCAGGAGTTGTGCGCGTTGACAAGATCTTCCCGACGACACCAATTTGAAAACAATCGGAGAAAAACTGTAGTAGAAGATAGATAAAAACTGAAAAATCTTCAGGTTAGTATAATACGCTCGGGGATGGCGTCCAGATGTCGTCGACTCCAAATCTTGTAGCCCCATCCCTAACGTTCTTAATTACACGGCCCCGATAGTTACATGTACACTCCTTGTCTTTTTACAAGCGTTTTTCTACGGGCGGGCATTTACTGCCAGCCAGCCAGCCAGCCAAAGTGAGATTAAAAGCTACTTTTTACAAAAAAAAAATTTTTGCAAAAATGCGCTAAAAATGATAGGGAGTTCACACTTCTTCTGGTGCTGATGCTCAAAACAAGTAACCTCTGGTAGTTCTCGGATTTTGGACTAATTCGCCATTAACACCAAATACGCAAATTTGCACATATTTTCGTCTGCGTCCGCAATATTATGCATCTACAACCATCAAACTTCACCCCCCCCCCCGCCCTTCCGGAAGTTTAGTGACGACTGGTTTCCGTATTTTTATATACATTACTGGTACGATGCATTCAACTACAGAAAAACTGGATATTGCTTTTTGTAAAGCCAAAGCAACAATCTACAAATTAATTAACATGACAGCCAGATCTTTTTTTGTTTTAAGAAGTTATTTTGTTTTGTTTTCTTTTAAAAATAGACATAGGGAAAAACAATACGCACAACAAATCCCTGTCTACTTCTTAATAAATATCACTGTATATCTTTAATATATGATAAACAATGATTTTACTTTCATACTTGTACAGTGGACCCGTGTATTCATTTAATGGTGCACCAGAAAAAGTATTAAGTATTTTATTTATGTATTAAAAGATGCTGTTTAAAAACGTGTTTGTCATTTGTCACGTAATCGCAACTAGCACATCTAAAATCCTTAGAAACTTTATGTGTTAAAAGATGGCGTTTAAAGAAGTGTTTACGATTGGTCCCATAATCACAATCACAGCATTTAAAATCTTTAGAAACTTTATGTTTTAAAAGATGTTGTTTGAAATTGCGCTTATCATTTGTCTCATAATGACAATCGGCACATTTAAAATCCTTAGAAACTTTATGTTTTAAAAGATGTCGTTTGAAGAGATGTTTATCGTTTGTTCCATAATCACAATCAGCACATTTAAAATCCTTAAACACCTTATGTGTTAAAAGGTGTTGTTTGAAGTTGCGTTTATAATTTGTTCCATAATTACAATTAGTACATTTAAAATCCTTAGAAACTTTATGCATTAAACAATGTCGTTTGAAGACATGTTTATCATTTGTCCCATAATCGCAATCAGCACATTTAAAATCCTTTGAAACTTTATGTTTTAAAAGATGTCGTTTGAAGACATATTTATCATTAGTCTCATGATCACAATGAGCACATTTAAAGTCCTTAGACTCTTTATGTTTCAAAAGATGTCGTTTGAACAGGTGTTTATCATTTGTCCCATAGTCACAAGTAGGACATTTAAAATCCTTAGAAACTTTATGTGTTAAAAAATGTCGTTTGAAGAAATGTTTACGATTGGTCGCATAATCACAATCACCACATTTAAAATTTTTGGAAACTGTATGTTTTAAAAGGTGTTGTTTGAAGTTGCGTTTATCATTTGTTCCATAATCACAATGAGCACATTTAGAATCTTTAGAAAAGTTATGTTTTAAAAGATGTCGTTTGAAGAGGTGTTTATTATTTGTTCCATAATCACACTCGGCACATTTAAAATCCTTAGAAACTTTATGTGTTAAAAGGTGTTGTATCAAGTACTTTTTAACATTTGTCCCATAATCACAATTGGCACATTTAAAATCCTTAGAATCTTTATGTTTTAAAAGATGTCGTGTGAAAACATATTTATCATTTGTGCCATAATCACAATGAGCACATTGAAAAACTTTAGAAACTTTATGTTTTAAAATATGTCGTTTGAAGTCCTGTTTATCATTTGTCCCATAATCACAAGTAGCACAAATAAAATCCTTAGAAATTTTATGTGTTAAAAGATGTCGTTTGAAGAAGTGTTTACGATTTGTCCCATAATCACAATCGCCGCATTTAAAATCTATAGAAACTTTATGTATTAAAAGATGTTGTTTGAAGTTGCATTTATCATTTGTCCCATAATCACAATCAGTACATTTAAAATCCTTAGAAACTTTATGTTTTAAAAGATGTCGTTTGAAGAGCTGTTTGATATTTGTCGCATAATCACAATCATCACATTTAAAATCCTTAGAAACTTTATGTGTTAAAAGGTGTTGTTTCAAGCACTTTTTAACATTTGTCTCATAGTCACAATCAGCACATTTAAAATCTTTAGGCACTGTTTTAAAAGTTAAAAGGTGCCGAAAGTTGGAGTGTTGTACTTCTTCATTATAAAGGGATTTTGAACATGGTGTACTAATCGTAATTTTCGAGGTAATTTCATTCTTTACTGTCACCAAAACTTCGTTACTTACTGAAGCGTGGCCCTGGAGAAAGGAATGGATTTCTTCTTCTTGTTTGGGTTCGATTTTAATGGGTAGTGTGTCGATATCTCCATCCATAACTAACAACAATAATGTTACCTATACATAAATATGTTAAAAATCTATAATACAGAGCGAGACCCTGTGGCAATTAGACATACTTACTTTCTGAGTCACAGAATTTGTTGAATTAGGGTACACCATGTTACCCGTACATAATCATTTGATTCACTTGGATATAAATTTTAATTCGATTTGGTTTTATTTATAATAGTTGTTCCACATGCACATACAAGTGACTAATAAGTGCTGCCACATCGTGTCGAATTGTGGTACTATCTGATTATAGTTCCCTCATGGTTCCCTCCATGAACATGTACATATATATACAGGGTGAGTAAGATATTTCTCAAATAAAACGAAAACGCGTGCTCGCACTGAAAGATTTAATAAGGGACTCGTACATAATGATGTGGACATCCTTACCGTTAAGACAGTCGTAAAAACGTACTCGCTCAGGTGGTCCTCGCTAGGGCAGCGGTGGCCCATTCTCTTATTTCACGTCCCAAATCTTCTACCATGAAAATTTCCCAGAGAAACAACCCTTTCGGATTTCTCTACTCCATGAAGCATATGACTGATAACGGCATCCTTTGAACCAGATTTACTGAAATCGGGCAGCACGGATCAGACTTTATGGGCTAAGGCCATGATCTCTAGCAATCACCCGCCTGGGATACTTAGCTTCGCCACAGAAAAATGTGACTACTGAGCCCTACCACCACGACAAGGTGTACCCCATGGTAGGGAAGTTGTAGACGTAGATTTTTTGTTTAATTATTGATACGTATACTGCTTCTTGCCTATTCTCCGTGGTTGTAGACGTAGATACCTACACAATTTGCATGACCAGCGTACTTAAAAAGGTTTCCGGTCGTTGATTTCCGTGTTCTCGGTCCTCTCCGCCGTAGTCCGCATAACTTGCTTCATCATCAGCAAGAAACATCAAACTTCACAGTATTAAATTTTGATCTCCAATTCTTGTCGTTCGAGATCTTCGTAAGAATTTTACGCTGTAGGCTTCCTGGGAAATAAAAATTGCACCATCGTCCCATCTCACGGTAGAGCTTAAGAGGTTTCAGTGAAATCCCTTTGGTTCTCGCCTTGGCTACGCAAGATGCGCTTTGTAACGCTCCACTGAACCATCATCAGCATTGTACTTGACCTTGTCACCCACCGGCTTGGGAGCCAGGTCCCAAGTATGATTTTCATTGAGCACATTTACCTCCTCAATCATTGCCACTTTCCAATTTTTGGCTTGAGAACCTTTAATGGCTTCGGTGTTAGGTGTAGGTACGTAGACGGTTCAGCTTCATAGGCTATCGTGGTGTAGCATTTTGAGGTTCCGCACTGACTGATGCATAATCCTTCAACTTCCTCGGAAGAATAAGCCTTCCTGCTTAGAGTTTGGGACATTTTTGCAACGTTGATTAAATAGCAATCACACTACCGACACTTTACTGTTAATTGTGGGAACTGAACATCTTTTGTTTTATCATGGCACACTTGGGTTCGGAAAATAAGGTTTTATTTTTACAAATTGGCGTTTCGACTTGGTTTTTCTCTGAAATGTTCTTGTGGAATGAGTGGTTTTCTTTGTTTCAGTGGAAAATTTGTAGTTTTGGTTACCCAGAGATATAATTTGTTTAGGGGGGTGCCATTTGACATTTTAAAAAAATATAACATTTGGCGAAGGTCAATCAAAATTTTTTTGGATAAAGTATAGGTACCTAAAAAATATTATGTGACTGTGGAAGAGATCTTAACCTGTGCCTCAGTCCAAAACTAAGCAGCCTGCGCGATTTAGATTGGATAAATATGCAGAAGCCGCACTGAGTTTTCACGTTGACTGTAAGGGAGCATACAATCACGTGATAGAAAACATGAGCGCAGCAAATTTAATCAGATTAGTCTAGGAATGACAATCCAAAACACAGTCACAGCAGTTAAGAGTAATGCGAAACGAGGAATTTAAAATAAGAAAAGCCCCCCTGGAAATGAAAATCAGAAATGGTGAAATATAAACAGAAAAGGAACGCTGTTCTATAAGAGTCATCAGTTGCTGGCATATGCAGATGACGTACTCCTTCTGGCAAGACGCAGAAAAGAACTCCAAATCATTGCAAAACCCTGAATGGAATTCCCAATTAATATAGACAATACAGTTACCCGGTTTTAGTACACAAAATCTCAGTATTAAAAAACGAAGTGGAAATGAAGAGGTTTTGGAGTGCGCAGAAGTAGAGAACTACATGCATCTGAAAAGTGTCTTAGTGACCAACAAGTGCGAATAAGGTAGTGAAATATGTGTAGGGATAGCAAAAAGTAATAACTGTGCAGGAGGGCTAAACAAAATATTAAGAGCAAAAGAAGTGTCCAGGAATACTAAATTTAGGATCTACTAAAACTAACATTCACTTTTGGATGTGAAACTTGGGTTATGAACCAGAAAAACCAATTGAAGATAGAAATGTGGGAGAGAAAAATAGTAAGAAGAACAAATACACTCTTAGGCTGAGAAAGAAGAACGAACACAGAATTATATGAACTGTATAGGGAAAAGGTTTCGTAATGGTTAAGACATTTAAGAAGAATGGACGATAGAAGAAATGTTAAAGAGGTGGTCTGGAGGATACAAAAAGGAATAGATGGATACAAGCTGTGGAGAAAGACTTGGCAGAAAAACTGGTCAGTAATTGGAGGGAATTACGAGACAGGAAAAAGAGGAAAGGTTTATGTAATCATAAACAGTGGTCAAGTGAGTTAGACAAAGACATACTTTCAATAAATTATTTACTAAAGTTTGCTATAATTTTCGGCAGTATGTAAAAGTGAGTGAAAAACACAATTTATAACAAAAATGGAATATACTAAGTCTACATAATTCAGTTCTGATTTCTTACAAAGGTTAGTGATAAATCTACCTGAGTGGTGTAAAAAATACAACTTTGATGTGTCTAATGTGAAAATATAACTATAAATTCTAGTGAACTTTGTTTATTACTCTATAAGGCCCTGTGTAGGTTTATAATAAATGTAAACTAGCACTCTCTTTGGTAGGCTTCACTGTTTTACTATGTGTGTGACTAGCTTAACATATCACTCGTACATTAAAATACGTTACAACCAGCAACCACTATCGAAATATCGATAATAGTTTCCGTGTATGTACAGGGTAAATCTACATGAGTATAGGTACAACTATTGCAAAAAGTGAACATTTCCAGAGAAACAATGAAAACTAGACCACCCCATTACATACTTAATTGTACATAATTAATAATTCACTTCAGTCTTTGGTACGAACAGTAAATAAATATAAATTAAATAATATGTACACTCTTAAATATTTACACACAACCAAAATACATGAAAAAGACGGATTCTTGCTCAATTAACAACATTTTCACCTGACTAACATATCTTAAGAATTAAATCAAATAAATATTTCATATTCACATAACAAGCAACGGCTATACACCAAATTTATTGTAGATATACTGAGTATTAACGCCATCTCCAACATTTTGAATGGGATCCACTGTCGGATTCATGATGTTGAAGAGAATGGCGAATATCGTGCAAGCCGCATATACACCTAACGCGATCCACCACAGTAACTGCTCGTGTAACTTTTGTTCGAAATTTTTCAACACCAGCAAGCCTATCGTTAGACCCGCAAGTGCTCCAGTTAAATGGGCAACGTACGAAACTGGCGGTCCCATGGTTTCGGCGGCGTACCTCGAGTAAATCGCATACCCCACATCGCACGATGCTGCAAAAGACGCCTGTCAGTCAAAATGCAATGGAGCTGCGATTGGCGCACTTACCAATAGCAAAAATGCCAAACAGTCTTAAAATCCCACACTGCATATTATTGTAATTTAACAATACATTAGCTAAATGCGCCGCGAGAAGTGCGTAAACACCTCCCGACGCACCGACCAGATACACATCCGTATCGAACACGGACGTCCCAAGCGATCCGGCGGCGACGCCGGCCATATAAATCAGCGCCACCCTCCCCGATCCGTGTACCATCTCCAACGGCAGCCCGACCAGAAGTTGAACTACAAGATTAAATCCTAAATGCAGCCATCTGTAAACAAAAGACGTATTCCGTTAATCCAAAAAATTCTACAGTAAATTGAGGAAGAACTTATTAACGAAAGACAAACACGCGGAGGCGCAAGCAGGATATAATAAATTAAATAATTACACGAATTAAAATAACACGTTTTACTTAATTGTTTCTTTATCAAAACTCATATGTGAACCTCTCCCACTGGGTCAAGTTGTGTAAACTAATTACGCAACTTCTTTAGTCTAAATTTTGAGTGCCTGTATGTACCTAAATGTTCCCCGTTCACAATGGCAAACGTGTGAAAAAACCTTAAAGCTAATTGAATTACGCGAGATGGCAGAATTGGGATTAAAGCCAGTCGTTTGGTAAAAAAAAAAGTTGCGTGATAATTAGCGGGTAATTAATAAACCATTTCATTAGCAATGTAATACGTCCGTAGCATGAAAAACTACCTACTTTCTAGTCGCATCAAGTCTATAAAAAAAGTAGTTTCCTTGACATGCATTAGATGCGGTTGCGTCGTCATTAGTCACTTGCCTGCGTATATTCGGCTCAGAGGACCACGAACCTGTTCAAATTTGTTGAATTAAACTAATCCGTTTCCAAGTTCAATTGTAGACCGACAACGTGCATCGGATGCTCATTTAAGTCTCAAGACAAAGATATTGAATACCTCCCCTTGCGCTCCATTTGAAGACATGGTCTTGCGATGGGATGGTAAAGGGTCATCTTTGTAAAATGAGAAAGGAATAGATGAGACATGAGAACAAGATATCTAAACACTTGATAGGACATATTTTACGATAAAATCTATTTTAATATTATTATTTATTATTTTTGCCTTTATTTTTGAGTGGGCGGGGTTTCAGCCAAGGCTGCTCTACCAACCCAACCCACTATACATTTACAAATATCCATACCCGAACCCGGATTCGAACCAGGGACCCCTTAGCACCACAGTTCAGCTTTAACTGAACTGCGCCACACGGGCCGGCAAATCTTCTACAACTTCTCTACCATTTAGAATTTTATCGCCACGCAATTTTTGAATTCGCTTTGACGGAATATTGTTGTAACGTAAATTTAATGACGTGTTTATTGTAGAACATTCCGAATCCGTCTAGAACAATTATTGTCGTTTATTATATAAGTAAATTAATTCAGTCAGTTCCAACTTCGACGCGCTTGTGATATGTTATGAATTGTAAGTGATAAATAATAATTACTGTACTTTAAACAAGACGTGAAGGAACAGGAAAATGTGCCACAAGCAACGGACCATTAGGGAAGAAGAAAGCGCCAATGAGACAGTAGAATAGCCATGGATATCGCCGGCCCTTCTCAGAGACAGATTCTGGAAACAAATGCATCTTGATGGCCATGGACTGTTTCAGCAAATGGACAGAAGCATATGCTCTACCAAATCAAGAAGCGATAACTGTGGCGGACGTTTTGGTAAAAGAGCATTTTAGCAGATTTCGAGTACCTCTGGAATTACAACCCTAATCAGGGACGAAATATTGAGTCGGCGCTGTTCCAAAGCCTGTGTATTATGGGCATTTGCACGACCAGAACTATTGCTAGGACAACTAGGTTGATAGGACAATGGGGAAGTACTTGTCAAAAGTTGTGTCCGGCCACCAGCGTGATTGGGATTGTTCCTGAAGGCGATTTCGTTGTCTGGTAACAAAAGGTCGGTCTTGTGATAAGCTTAGTTACGAAGTGCGGGAGTCAATTCCGAAGTCTCGATAAGTTGGACTAACGCATCGTGCGCAATACACTGGAGATGGTAATATTGGTCTTACTTTAACCCCAGAGGAACCCCGCAGCCGTTTCGTAAGACGGTGGGTTGTTTTTTCTTCGAGAATGAAAGTATCGCCAGCAATTTCGCGATAGAGCACAAGAGTCTGGGACTGTGTCTCCGCTATAACCGTCGTCCGTATTGCGAGACGCAACAGTTTTAAGAGGGGGGCAGTGTAGCGAACAATCCAGCAATCTCGCTGAACATCGAGGAGCAATGAAAGGCGGATGTGACGCCATCTTTCCGCAAAAAATTACGTGTTTATTGTAGAACGTTTCCAAACAACTGTAGCGTATTTCAGTCAGTTCCAACTTCGACGCGCTTTTGTTATGTTATAAATTGTAAGTGATAAATAATAATTACTGCACTTTAAGACTGTTAAAATTTTATTGTTAATTAGTTGTAATAATTAAAGCACGTAATTAAATTTACGTTACATTATAGAAGGCTTTCAGAAATATGCGACAGACATGGAAGGGCGTTTCTTCAAATCCACACGTGGTTTTGTATTATGATGGTCAAGTTAATGATTTACAGAGACAAGTGTTTGCGACAGCTGCCAAACCAATGTCAGTAGACTAGTTTCATTAAGGTGGAAGATCTAACGCCGGTATGGAACTGTTAATTGAACTTTTGTGCCATGTTACATCTGGAACGGAAGCTGGCCGCCTCCTGTACGAACGCAGATTATATACAGGGCGTTGTCAGTCAAAACGAAAGGTATGTTCAATTAATAAAAAAGAAGTGCAAGCAACTGACGGTCGGGCCACCCACTAATTAGTGTCGAGCACGTGGTGTTTTTTATAATGCAAAATTAGGTTACCTGAAGAGAAATAAATATCAAATTACTCACCCTGCGTGCAGCATCATATACAGTAGAAACCTCCATATTTCAATTCGTTTATCTGGCCTATAGATGAATATCGAGTCTATCGGTACCGGACCTGCCGGATTTAATTCTCCCGTATTAACCGAATAATATACGAAGAATCCCAACTGTAACAGAAACGAAAAATTGTACGCATCGTGTATATAAACAATACCTATCTATTTATAAAATGGACTCGGCGCGTTTACCTAAATGAGTTATTTTTACATGTACAAGAATCTAAAATTAGGAGGGTTTAGTCGAAATTTTTCTACCTTTCACAGACGGAACGCGCCCGCACGTGTCCCACGTGACATATGTTTCCACAAACGTGGAAACACCGGGCCCCGTAAAATTAATGACTTCCCCTTTTGAAAGCGAAACATTTGTCTCCAGACGGCTCCCAGTTTATTGGTCAACCCGTTAGGTCGTCGCTGATTTAATTACCAGGCGACTGCAAAAATATTTCGCAACAGCTGCTGCAATTCTCCCCAAGTGCAAAATTACCGTTATTAAATTATTTGTGTAATTAAAGCGATTGCGTGCGCGTTCGTTTTAAGAAAATTTTTTTTAATTGGGGCTCGTTACATAAAATAATTAAAAAAAGGAAATCGCGCAACTTCATTACGTTACGTGAGCGCGATTTTTGGGCAAATTTCTAATGAAAGCCTTTAACGGCTCGAGTTAATCAATTAACATTCATAACATACCTCCACAAGAGTTATAATAATTATAAACAGCGGCGGTGGACAACAGGTGTAGTGATCAGCGTAGTACTTCCGGTCTCTTTCATCCGTTAGAAATTCCTCTGCTATTATCTGAACCATCCTGTAATTACAAACAGAGAGCATTGGTAAAGGGGAGTTCTCGTGCGACGGAATAAAGAAGGCGCCCTCTTATTGATTTTTGGCCAAAATTTACGGCTTTACATTCTTATTGGAGAGAGTAACACATTTAGATCCCGTCGCATATTTAGTGGCGTCTGCTCTATTTCGAGAGATGCTCGGCGCTTTTTGCCTTTTTTTCATTGTCTTACCTTCGAAATAGTGGAGGTTCGACCAGAAGTAGATGGAAGTCGTTTTCGGATGACACCTCACGGTCCCTGTGATGGACCGCACATTTAAAGCTTCTAGATCGTTTCCCTGTCATCTGCAACAATTAAGAGATATCTGTGATTAATTCGTATGCGTGCACTCGTCGGTAATCAGATTTATTTAAATTTAGTCATTTAATTAACCCCCCTGGACGGTCTTCATTTACAACTAATTTAGTTAGTCGAGGGCGTGCATAGTAATCTCGGCTCACATACCGATCTAATCGAGATGAATTATAGCCCTTCTTTCTTGTACGGGGGTGGGCACTCGCACTTATTGTCATAATCGTAAGGGTTTCGATGTAATTAAACGTATACGGGAGCGGTTTCGAAAGTTGGTTTTACATTTCGGCAGACCGAATCAATAGTTTAGGGGTCGCAACATCGCGTGCAGACCGCTGGCGTATCGACCCTATGATGTTAATACTAAATCCGTCTAAATTCCTCTGCACCCTGCACGGTTATAGGTAATTGTCGCAAGAAACTATGTAACCTTGCGCTATCGGATTACGTTAAGTTTCTAATCGTATTCAATTACCATGTTTTAAAGGTCCTTACCCGGTGTGGCTCACGGACGGGGTAAATTTCGCCCCCGTTGTTATCAATTTGAGAAATCTCACTCGCATACTGAAAACTTTTTCCTTAGCTTTCACACGAGCTCGTAACAACTGTATAAAAGTAATTAAATAAAGGCATTGTTCCAGAACGCGTACCTACGAGACTTTGCATTATTAATTTTACAATGCCTACCTAATTAGAGCGCTCGCGAAGAAATAAAAATCGCGCTAATTACCTACGTTACGAAAAGAAAAAAGTGTATCGGAATTTGTTTAGTATAAAAGCATAGTTTAGACAGGAGAGATTTTCGTCTCGCTGAGTCAAGAGTTATTCTTGGACAGACGATTTTTAGACCCCCAACGGATAGTGCACTGACTTTTGCAATTTTTAGATCAAGGTGAACACTAATCAGCTGTTTAAGTGGACGTCTGTATTTTAATAATCCTAGGTCACAAATTCGCCGAAGTTACGATGAAAAGCAGGGGCCGCTCTTTATTACAAAAAATTCACTTACGTAATGGAGACTCTCGAGTGGAATGAGCAGGGTAGCGAAATTGTACGTCTTACTGACGTTTAATTTAAATTGTCAAATTCAGAGGACAATAATGTTCTTGGACGCGCTGAGCAATGATCTAACACTAACTGTATATATATTTTTGCGGCTTGCCAACAAAATTCTACGGATAACTACAATTTTTATTATTTCCGCTATTGGTATTAGGTAAGTACTAAAAAAAACGCCAATCAATTCGATGCCAAAGCGGCGTGTGAGGTGTCTCACCTCATGTGGGTGGTTGTCTAGTCACCTGGCCGCCAACTCCACCTTGCCGTCACCTCTTACCTTTTCAGATCATTTCTTCTTCACTTTGCCAGTTTTGTAAAGTTGTTCAACCCTACCGGAATAAAGTTCACACACCTACGCCGAATAGGAAGAAGATTCTCACGTCCTTGGATTTGGACGTGGGGGTGCCCGTCGGGGGAGCGTATATCGATTCTCCAGATTGGTTTACATAGTGCGTGACCGTCTATAAATAAATAATTATGAAACGACCGCAAATCGACACCGCGCTCTCGATGGATGATGGTGGAAACGTTCTTGTAGTGGAATTGGGGCTGGGTCATTTCTTTAGTTATGACCTGGGGAGCGGGACCGTGGGCGCGTGTAGGATGTAGCCTACGCATCCACCAGGTTCCCACGACTGCGACCTCGTCGGTTTATTTGCACACCTGAGGTTAATGTCACCTAGACGCAATGTAAAATTTCAGCTTCGTGCCGTCATTTTTAACAAATAGTGAAACTGATCGCTGACCATTTCATTTCGATCGTCCGGAATGACAAACAGAACAAACAGCGCGATTTTTTGTTGTAGGTTGTTTCCTTTAGGGTCAATGCATGGCGCTTTCTGAATATGGTGAAGACCCCCACGATTTTTCTTCGATTACCTCATACAATACCGTCGGTTCATATTAATCGAGTAAGAATTCTTGTATTCCACTGCTTCGTTTACATACAAAATTTTGTTTTAATTTGACGGTTCACTAAACTAAGTAGGTATCCACGTTTTTTCTTGCGCTCAGAACACGATTTATCTATGACTATAATCTGGTGTACCTTCGCAAAAAACTTGACTGGTGATCGATTGCGGACTAAGGATTGGTCTAAGGTCTGCAAAATGGCACCTAGTTCGCTAAAACGTCACGAACTTCAAATGGGTCCGGATGATGGTAAAGTTTGGAAGAAGAACCTCTTCCTGTTTGAATTTAGTCCCCATATCCCCTAAAAGTAAAATGGTGGAAAAAGCATGTTCATTTTAAACACTTCCAGTCCAGTATTAAACTTTTTGCGACAGTATCGACGTCTTACGGTAATTTTAGCGCATTTTTTTTACGAATTAAAAAAATATGGTATTGTTTGCGCTTTGTCCGTCCGTCTGTCCGGACTACTTCTAGGAAAATTGTACTTTGGAGGTGTGTCAAACAGGCACCAAATTTTGTTGCCTTAAGGGGAAGGGGGGGGGGTGCATGAATTATTCCCCCAGGTGCTGTTTTTGAAAGTAAAACGAACATAACTACTACACTAGGCATGCATCTAATGGGGAGAGGGACATTTTACCCTTCATATATGGTATTCTAACGTCCGGTCTAATCGAAAGGAATTGGTCGCGACATCAATGGATGATGGAGAGGGGGGAGGGGGGGGGGGGTTGGTGTTGAATATTGGTTTTATTTTTCATGGTATTCCAATTAAAGGTCTCACAACGAAAATAACTGTTATCTGCCAACCACAGTCCTGCTACTCGACCCCTTATCAAAATTCCGGGAATTCTAATGAAAAGTCTCGAAGGAATTTGACTTTTACAAACTACACATGTCTTCGGCGACTCATTTTCGAGATCAATGGTTAACTGAAGGAGGTGAGGGAGTTAGAAATTGGTTTCGTCTTTCATAGTATTCTAATTTTAAGGTCGCGACGAAAAGAACTGTTCCTTTACCCCTCATCAGAATCAAAAGATGGGGGTGGAAAAGCTGATTCTAGCCTTTATGGTACTATATACGGAAGGTCTCAACGGAAAAAATTAATTTCTGCCAACCATAGTCCTCATCCTCGATCCCTTATGGTGATCGATAATAATTCCTCATATCTCAAGAACGGAGTGTCGGAGGAGAGTACTTACAAAATGAATCGTCTGGACGAGACATATGTATTGATTAGGATACGTGTGAATATCTCGAAAATAGAGTGTCAGCTTAATTCTTCTTTCATTATATGGCGTAGATTTTGAATGTGTACCAGGCGGCCTTTAATGTTTATATGTAAAGAGCTCTCTCCCCATTAATCATCTACCAAAAAGCATAACTATAGCATTTTACTACCTTATAACCCAAAATATACTAAGCTATTTCGGTTTAAAAAAATGCGCTTTATCTGTACAAGAGTTGTGCACAATTTATACTTGTTTTAATTACGGAAACATTGTCGCAAACTTTTAGAAAGAAAAACATGATATAAGTACACAGAGAGTAGGTAACATAAAAGTACTCATGTAAAAACTTCGGTAGTAGACGTGACCAATACAAAAGTCTTTTTTCGTTGATGTCGTAATCTGCCATTTGGGGTACCAATAGATAAATGCGTCGTACCGTGGCAATGTGTTTGCATTTACATTCTGTACGTCATGGGTTTCGGTTATCATGTTTCCGTTAATATCCAGCGAAACAAAGTCGCGAGAGAAAGTCTAATACCATGATAATTTCTCCGAATATGTACTTACGATTTGTACAATATTGTATTCTGCCCAATTTCATTTTATTTCGTGATCCGCGTTCCATTTTTAATTTTTCTGGCCAAATACAACTACAAATGTTTAAAAGGAATAGTCTGGAAATGCCTAGAGAAATTTAAAATAATACCTGTACAGGGTTCACCAAAGTTCCCGGGGCGGAGTTATGTTTTAAACGAGCAAAGAAGCAAATATGAAAATACGGGGATCAGTCGAGGGATCAATTAAACGGTCCTGCATTTCAGATGGTTCAAAACTTTCATACGCTGGGGAGTTTTTTCAAAGAGCCCAGCACTTTTGAATCACCTTATTTTAAAGGAAAAAAGAAATGCATCCCCATAACCAAAACCTGGCATCCACCAAAACTACCAACCCTATACCAAATGAGAAAGCAACATGTTTATTACGATTTTTATGGTAAATCCTTTGCTCGATTTGGCATTGAAACAAATGCTCATAAGGAATTTTGAACCTTTTGGAGCATATCACTAGTGAGATTGGTGGTTTCTTCGAGTATGCGATTTTGCACAAATCATTTATTAACGAGCCACCCAGCTCGTTCATGATTTTAGACTTTCTGTCTGTCCGTTCGTGTACATGAACGCGAACGGTTTCCAATTCGCTGTTTTCAGTGTAATAGGTAGACAATGGTCAAGGGACTAACTGATTAAATTTTGGTCAATACCCGTCAATTAGACTTTCTATCTGTCCGTCTGTGTGGATGATAAGTCCATTAGACTATCGGCTCCTATTAATTAACACAAGTTCTTTTCTGAAACTTTCAAGATACTGTACGAGTCGTGTTACTGTACCAACTTCCTATAAGAATGACTAATATTTTAGTAGGAAGCTGGATGTTCGTGATTTTCGATTTTCTTTCCGTCCGCCCGTCTCTGTACACGACAACTCGCGAACGGTTTCGAATTTTCCCCCCAATTTTCCAATTGTGTTTTCAGTAATAGGTAGACAATGGTAAAGGGGCTAACAGTTTAAATTTTGGTCATTTGTACTTTCTGTCCGTCCGTCTGTATTGGTCGCTCGTTGTCTAGATTGGTTTGAACAATTTATTATGACGTAAAGTCGACACATTTATGCTTTCGGTAATTGGGCCAACTTCACTAAGAAGGGGCATATTATATACAGCACATCTTGCGCCACCCCTTGGGAGATTTGCCTCAGTTGCTACTTATGCACCAATCCTGTCCAACCGCAATTGA